ATGTTTATTCTATGCTTTCAAGCAGGAGTGCATAAATAACTTAGTTTTTTTTAACTAAAAATATAATGTAGTAGATTTTGGTATCTAAATTTGATCCTCTAAAAATGTCTAACTGATTCTTTATGTAGTCTTTTCTTATTTTGGAACAGTAGCATTTAGCATTTTCTCAACTGTTTCAAAGTTTGCGTCTTGGGAAGTATTTTATATCTTTAATTTGCAAATAAGAAACAAGCTTTATTTTCTCCTTATTACTCCCTACATACCAAAAACATATAAATCATGGCTGCCGGTTTCTTTGTTCAAAGGATTATATATGTTCTACAACTTACTCTTTACCTCTCTAAATTTCAAACTTAAGATTTTGTACATTTTAAAGCATTTCTTTATCAACTTTATTATTGTAGAACTGTGTGTGTTTAGTTCAAAACTTCATAAAGTAGTTTTCTGTCAGGTAGATCAGACAATGGTAGTGTACATATAATGAAGGGTATAAAGCGTTCAAGATAGATTTGATCATATTGGCTGACATTCAAATACTGATTTAGATTTTTGCTCTTAATATGCTTTATAATACAGTATAAGCTAATATAATTAGTACATTGAACATTCTTTTCGTTAGGTATGAATTAAATTGCTAGAGGTGCTATCAACCCAAAAAGGCTTGAAATCTAAAACATGATATTTTCTGTCTTATATGAACAGCTTGGATCAAGTGTTTGACTTGTGTGAAAGAGGAAGCTGTTAGAGTGCAAAGAAGTAGCTTGTAGTGAATAAAGAGGCTTTTTTTTCATATGTAAATATTTCTTGTTAAGTATTATGCTAATTACAAGCAATGGCTACACTTTTAAATCTTCCTTGGTTCTGTGCTATGATATATTTTAGGAGGGTTCTCTTAAGGCTATTAAAAATGCCTTGGTTAAAGGAACATGCAGTTCAGCAGGGATAACTTTCTCGACAGACACAATGGATTGATAGTTAGATTTTGTGTGTCTTTTCATTTCTTTCCAAATTCTCTGACCCAGGGTAACCTTTGGTCCTTCTTGGAAGGCGAAAATGAAGGGAGTTTGAGCAGGTGACTGATGATCCCCGTCTCAACAGCTCACAGACAATATACAAATTACATTACCAGCCCCCTTTATCTACTCCCTTCACTCCTCCCTCCTTAAATCAACAATGCAAATAGCTCCATCCCCATTTGCTAGAAATTCAGGCTTGCTCAGGCAACATGGGCTTTGTTGTTGAGTCCTTTTCTCTAGAAATTCAATTTTAATCCTGGTTAGGAAGAGTAAGACTATGAAGTGGAACCTAAGTCACTTTAATGGTAAATCCAGCAGCAGCTTGTCATTCTGGGGTCTTTATAAAGGTAGGAATTGTTTTTATATTGTAACTAAAATCTGGGTAAAGAAATCTATTGTCTGCTTTGTTAGTTTTTGTGCACTACATATATTAAAGACTTTAGTTAGACGGTCCTGTTTTAAATATTTATTGAAACTTTTAGCACTGTTATTTGAATAGTCACTTACAAAAGTTGTTTTTAAAAGGCTTTGGGAAAAATTCAGTCTTTGCTTATTTCTACCATAAAAATGCTTGTATTTTTTAAAAGCAAGGAACAATCTGATTAGCAGTAATATTTAGTTATTTAGAATACTAGTTTATAATAAAAGTATTCTAATTTTTTCTTAAGTTTTAGGAATATAACCATAAATAATTTTCCACTGATGTTGAATGAGATATACTAAAAAAATATGCTCTGGAAATATAAATAACATTCTGCTGATTATTTTTAAACATTTAATTTTTTATGAAAATTGTTCCAAAGCCTGCTGTGATTATTTTGAACAGTACAGTGGAAGTCAATGTTAGAAATTGTTCGGGAGGAAAAAAGATACTATGTTTTAAAATTCAAGTGATTTTTAAAAGGTTATATTGCTAGGTGAATTTCAAATTGACCTAAAACTGTTTCTTTTGTGTATGTGCAATTTCTTCTGAAAATATTAAAGATTATAGATATTGTGCTTTTTTTTAAATACTGTCATGTATTAGTAGCAGTTGTGAAATAAAATAGTCACCATGGAAAGTATTCCCCCAGAGAACTGAAGGGAATAAGTTACAATGTTTCTATGGTTCACAAGCAGAAAGCACATACACCTTTAAAATATGTCTCTAAAGCCCTTCTAAATTCTGGTTGTGATTTCTTGTTTATTGATTTTTTTTGCTTCTTTTCTAGGCTGAATATTTATGAGACAACTATATAACAGGACTGAAAAATCATGTAAATGTTGTTAGATCTAGTTTTATTTCAGTATAGAATTATGCCAAGGGGAAAAGAAACTCTTGTTTTTGTTTTTCAAAGACAAGATCTGTAATATAGGCTAGGCCTGATCTCACAGCAGCTTTTCTGCCTCCCTCTCCCAAGTGTTGGGATTATAGGCCTCAATAACCATTCTAATTTTTCCCTTCTGTAACCTTTAAAAATAACTTAAGTCCATAAGCCCAGTTTTGAAATAGGATTAAATCAAAGCTGTAGATAGAGCCTTTAAATATTGTTGAATTTTGGCTTAGTTAGCTAGGCATAATGTTTTAAAGCTCTTAAAAATGGCATGTTATTGCTTCTCAAATGACAATGCTATCTATATTTGACACTTTCCAAAGTAAAGTCATTTAGATAAATCCTTAGTTTTCTGAATGTGTCATTTCCTTTTATATAAGCGTCACTTTTTATTGTGTGTCTAGGTAGTTTTGATACTGGAAAATGTGTTGTTGATTCCTAGAGAGAAATCTATTTGAGTTCTCAAAGAGACTCAGGAAGGATGATGGAGGAGATAAGGTCTAGACTTGTTGATATTATTAGGGTCTTAGAGTGTGGATGATAAATAAATGGGCAGTTAGTGTAAATCTTCAGATCAGAATTGAGAAATTGTTGCAACACCCACCAAGTTTTAAAATAAAAACCTGGAACAGTTACTACTAAATTTTAAAAACATTATTTTCCTTTGTAGCTATTTCTTTTTTTCTTGTAGCAGTTTGTAAATATTAATAAATATTTGATAGATGGCTGAAACATAACAGAGAATACTGACTCTTGTAAATAGAGATAACATTGTGTTTGTAGAATTCAACTACCTGGACAACAAAGAGGTCTTTTCCTTTATAGAATGCCAAGTCAGACTGTTTGAATGACTTCTACCTAACACAATCAGTCTACAATTGAATTCTGAAATTGCTCAAGACTGAGTAGTAGATTACTGTGTATCAGTTTTGAAGACTCTAAAGATCACTGCTGACATGCACTGAAACTATAGACAGTCATTCCTCAGTATACTGAGGGAATTGGTTCCATGGCCTCTAGACATGCAAAATACGAGTATGCCCAAATCCTATATAAAATGGTGGAATGTTTGTATGTAACCTATTTATACCATCCTTTATATTTTAAATCATCACTAGAATACAAACCTGGTCCAAAATAAGTGCTTCATAAATAGTTATCATTTAAGAAATAATGACAAAAGTTTGTATATATTAAGTAGTGGTACAATTTTTTTTTCTCAGTGTTATCTGTCCATTGGTGATCAGATCTACAGATTTACTATAGGGCCAGCTATATGACTACTTAAATGCAATGTTATGCTTTATCAAATAATTTTTCTTCAGAATAGCTAATTGTTATTTATAGAAGTGGCTAGATTGTTTATCTTTTTGATACATTTTGCACTCTAAATTACAAATTGGTATTTATCACAGAACATCCAGAAAATAAGATAACAGTGGTCAGAGGATAATCTAAAATTGTATATATTCCTTCCTTTTAGAAGTAATGATTGCTAATATTTTAGTATATAAGCTTTAGAATATTTTAATTGAAACTTGGAATATTAATTGCCAGTACTCATGACCAGTTGGAGACATCTTACAGAGCATGTATTGTATTGTTGTCATGTGTATAGAGTTATAGTGACTTGATTCTATTTGCTTAGATATTCTGTTATTATTATCATTAGTAGATAAACTTTCTCTAAGAAATATTAAAGAAGCAAGAAGTTTGTCACCAAGTACTATCCAAATATTTGGTTTAGGTTTTTAACTTTAATGTATAGTCAACATATAAAATTGAAAACACATTTGTTTTTACTCAAAGTAATTACTTTGATGTCAAAGAAAATAAACCTTTATATCAATATGAAGAAAACCTAAACATTGTCTTACTGAGAGCACATTGGTGCTTATTTCCAACACTACTTTAAATTGTATTCCTTTGATGTTTGCGTGTAAGCTTCCTCAAATTTGAACATAAAAAGGTTTTGCCCTCATTACTTAATTCTGTACTTTTTAAAATCCTTTGGATTTTTAGTCTTTTATATTATAATATTATCATTTTTATCTCAGATTTTACTAATTTGTGGCTTCTTTGTTTTGGTTAGCTTAAAGGTTTATCAGTTTTATTTGTTTTTCAAAAAAGCAAATAATTATTGTTTTGGGGTTTCCATTTCATTAACTTTAGGGCTAGTCATTTTCCTTTCTAGGAATTTTTAGTTTGACTGTTTTTACTTTCCTAAGACCTTTAGATACATCATTAGGTTATTTAATTTGATATCTGATTTTATTGTAGGCACTCTTAACTGTGTGTGTTTGTAAGTGTATGTGTGTCATCTCTATTAGCCAAACAATTTTAGAATTAATAACGTTTACTATGTAAATTATAGATTTTCTACAAAGGAAATTGTCATGGCATAATTAGTGAAATATCAGTTTTTAAACTGGACATAGACACAATTTACCTGGCAGATTATCTTTACACACAATATTAAAATTGTATGAATTATGCCACCAGGTAACTAGAAGCTGTATATCATATGAGAATGAATTTCTTTTTATGATGACACTGTATCAGAATGTATAAATTATTATTAGAAGCTTTAATATTTGGTATGCATACAGGAACCTAATGTGTTCTAGCTTTTAAGTGAACATAATTTTCTTCACTTTATTTCTCAAAAAAGCTGAAAGGAAACCAAGGAGCAAAGCAGTGACTGAACCTTGGAAAGATGGAGCCACAGCTTCAGAAAGTGAAGAAGCAGCTCCAGGTGATTGACTTTTTTTTCTACACCAATCTGCAAGATGATTCCTCTACATTGAATAATAGTGTAGTGTTTTCGGAAGGAAAGGCTCTTTTCTGTTTTAAGAAAAGTAGACCAATGTAAAATTGCTAGGAATTTTCGCTGTGATAAGTCGGTGGTGCTTGGTATTTAATGAAAGCCTACTTTTGAAAAAAATTAGACTATTTCCTGACTATCTGAAATTCAAATGTACCTAAAATTCCATTTAAGGTTAAAATATTTTTAGTTTTTTAATGCTTTTCTTTGAAAATTTCATATAATTTATTTTAATCATATACTTTCCCTGCCCCCTATTCCTCCAGGAGCTTCCCTTACCTCCCTATCCACCTAAATTCTTGTTTTATACACTATTAAAAAAGAGAGAGTGAGCAGTCAGGTCTTCGGACTGGAGAGGGAGGGGGAGAGGAGTGGGGGGAAAGGAGTGGGAGGAGGGGGAGGGAAATGGGAGGCTGGGAGGAGGAAAAAGAAGTTAGAATTAAGAAGTTATAATTTTTTATCAAAATAAATATAGAATAAAAAAGAGAGAGTGAAGCATATAAAAATGGGAATCTGATATGTGTTTTCAGACTATTCTTGAACATGGGGCCTGCCTTGGAATGATACCTAGTACCATTCCAGTGAACAAATCTGATCTCTTTTCTAGCAGTTCTCAATTATAAATTGCTTCTTGGCTAGGGCCGGGACTTTGTTCCCACTTCACCTGTGCCACTCTCGGATTTGATCAGGTTTGAACTTGTGTAAGTAAGTATTATACATTTTGTTGCAGTATTTCTCTGTTCCTTTCCACATCTGCCCTGTTAGGTCTTGAAAACCCTGTCTCCTTGAAGACTTCTACCTGTAACATGAGGGCCTGTTTGTTGGGGTTTTTGTCCCACCTGGTCTCCCAGCCATTTAGTCCCAGGGAAAAATCATACAGAGATCTCTATGTTATAAAACTGATTGGCCTATTAGCTCAGTTTTTTTTAACTCTTGTAGCTTATATTAGCCCATTATTCTTATCTACGTTAGTCACATGGCTCAGTACCTTTTTCAGCCAGGCAGATTATATGGTCCTTTTTCCGTGGTCTGGGCAGGACTGGGAGGAATGGGCTTCCTCCTTCCCAGAATTCTCCTCTTCTCATTGCCCCACCTCTACTTTCTGTCTGGTTGACCCGCCTATACTTTCTACCTGGCCAATCAGCATTTATTTAAAACATAATTGACAAAATACAGACAATTCTCCCATACCATCTACCATCTCTGGTTCTTAAAATCTTTTTTGTCCTCACTTCTACATAGATCCTTGAGCCTTCACAGTAGGGGTTTGATATAGACATCCCATGTAAGGTTGAGTATTTCAAACTCTCACTTTCTTAAGGTGGTCCACTTGTAGGTTTCTATGTTAATTACCATACATTACATAAAGCTTTTCTGACAACGTTTGAGGGATACACAGATCAGATGAATATGTCATTAGAAATCATTTTATTGTGTTTAGCAGAATAATAATGGTAGATTTTCTCCTTAGGGCCCAAGACATATCTAGTCACAGGTTATTGGTCTCATTGGCATGAGATGATCCTTCAGTCCAACGAAAAACTGGTCCATTCCATAGCATTCTTGCTACTATTGTACCAGTGAGCATACCTTGAGGGCAGATGGTTATAAGAGCTCAGAGGGTTCATAGCTCTATGAGGTTGATGGTTACTTTTTTCTGCTGGCAGTGTCTATAGATATGAACCCTAGATAGTAAGGGTGATGCTTTCAGTTGAGTACCAGCTGGTTTCTCTATGTACCTTGACATCCATATGTAGTGTGTTCAGCAATTTAAAACTATCTTGAAATTCTTGTCAAGTTGTAGAAGGTTACTAATAGTATAGGCAATGGCCTCTCATGTTAGGGATTTGGTCTATGAGAAACCTTTGGCCACTACCTCAAAAAGAAGTTCCATGTACTAGGGTAGCATATGTTGTCAAGTTGGGTTCTTGTCCCTCCATTAAATATTATCATTTCACTTAAACTCCATTGATTTCAAATTTTTATTTATTAAGTTTTTCTTTGCCTGTGTCTCTTTTTTTTTTTTTTTTTTGCAGAACTTCTGTTTGCTAGATTTTGTATTATAGTTGTTGAGTATCTCATCCTATCCCTGAACTGCCTGGCTGAATTTATTTACATATTCATTTAAATCCATTTTGAGGTCATTATTCATCTGTAAAAGTAGAGTTTTGAATCCTTTGTCCCGTAGTTTTACCATTTCAACATCTTGGATTAGGTTATATGGTAGTTGGAAATTTTACACACACACACATTCATATCTGTGTGTATGTGTGAATGTGTTTCTCAAAAGCATGTAGGGACAGAGACAGAAAAGGGCATTGGATACTCAGCAGCTACAGTTACAGATAGTTGTGAGCCTCTTGATGTGATTCTTGGAAACTTAACTCAGTTTCTATGGAAGGGAATCAGAAAATACTTTGAATTGCTGACCCAATTTTTTTAGGCCCAATGAGAGTTTATTATTTATTTATTTATTTATTCTTTTTTACTGATTTTTATTGAGCTCTACATTTTTCTCTGCTCCTCTCCCCATTTCAACCCTACCCCAAGGTCCCCATGCTCCCAATTTACTCAGGAGATCTTGTCTTTTTCTACTTCCCATGTAGGTTAGATCTACGTAAGTCTCTCTTAGTGTCCTCATTGTTATCTGAGTTCTCTGGAATTGATGTTTGTGGGCTGGTTTTCTTTGCTTTATGTTTAAAAACCACCTATGAGTGAGTACATATGATAATTGTTTTTCTGTGTCTGGGTTACCTCACTCAAAATAATGTTTTCTAGCTCCATCCATTTTCCTGCATAATTCAAGATGTCTTTATAGTTTTAAGATGGTATAATGGAATACGTAAGCTCATACAGAGATGGCCTTTAAGCTTCATATAAAGTGGAGGGTTGGAACATTCATTGAATGGAACAAAGAGATGGAGGTGGAAACTTAAATGAAAGAAAACATTTTACATAGTGATGTAACAGGTGACTATACTTAGAAACCGTCTGCAGCAGCCATTCCTTCACACCATATACAGCTCATGTAGCTGTGTGATGAGAGTGTTTTTTAATGTTCTTTGGTTTGTTATTTTTTTCTTTGAAGTATACAAATAATGTGACAGACACAGAGACCATATGTATCTTTCGGAATGTTTACTGTGTAGCTCCTTACAAAACAAAATTGCCAACCTCTTGTGAATCAGAGGCAGGAGCTGACTCATTGCTCAGGAGTGATATAGGAAGGGACACTTAATTTAGAAGTGTTGGTGGAGATGGACAGTTGTGTAAGCTGTGTGAGGTGTAGAGCCAGAAGAAACATAATGGATTGAATGACAATACAAAGAACTATGGGTAAACTTTGCAACAAGAGTGTAAAATTTGATGAGTTCATGTGAAACAACAGATAGCAAATAAGGGAGTTGAAGGGTGGGCAAGGGGACACTGTTGTCCTGGAGATAAAAGAGTTCCAGAAATTGACAGGAATAACCATTCCCAGGACCTTAGCTGGACTCTTTATTGAAAATGTCAATGTGAAGCTCTATGCTGGTATAATCCTGAAAATCATGACAGGGAGACAGTGTAAAAAAATGTAATGTGAGTAATATGTAAAAAATAGTAGACACATCGAACCAAGAGTTTAAAGTAGCTGTTAAAATAAGAAGACTGGGTTGGTTAGATGAGTGAATTAGTTGTAAATAGAGGGTGAAGTTATGCCATAGTTAAATGATCTTGCATTTGCCTTGGTAACCGAGGATAGACTACTTCTATTCAGTGTTTCATAGAGCTAAAATAAGCAGGGCTACAGAGAGAGGGGATGTTTGCTATCACAGCTCTTGTTATGCAAACCATGTGGTCTTTGGGTTATGAAGAAACAAGTAGTAGACTGTTTTAACTTACAAAGTTCTGAGAATGAGAGCAGTTGAGCTTTAAACACAAGGGCATTTATGTGTGGTTGTATGTGTTTCATATATCTCCTTAAGAAAGAATTTTTATTTAGAATTACTAGTTTTTAACTGTGTAAAATAATCTCGCCAAAATAACCAAATTGTGAAGGTATTAATACTGAAATAGCTCTCGTTTTTAATTTGTAAACATAGACACAAGTAACCTGGGAAGTAATTTTCACAAAATAATAAAAATTACCTGAATTTGGCTACCAGGCAACTGGAAGCTACCTATCACATGAACATGATGGTAGCTTTTTCAAAACAACACTACAGAATCATCTATATTTTATAATAGGAAGCTTTATTATTTGGCATACAGAACACAATGAAGTGCACTGATTATAGCAACTGTAGTCATATATTATTTTTTTTTTTATTTTTCATTAAATAACCCCCCAAAACTGCAAACAAAAACTCCCAAGGGCAACCAACCCTTTGGAGGTTGAAGGCAGGTGAAAGATGATCAAGCAGCCCTAGGCCATTGCTTCGGTTTTTATATTGATTTGCAAGATAATTCCTGTACACTGAATAGTGCTTTTGGAAGGAAAGAATCTTTTCTGTTTTAGGAAAACAAATACAGAAAGTATTTGCTAGTCCAACATTTTTCTTTTAGTGAAAGATTCCTTTTTATAGAAATAGACTATTGCCTCCTTTTTTGAAAATTAGACTATTTCCTGATTATATGAAAATTTAGGGTAGATAAATCTTCATTTATATGGCATATTTGTTTAAAATTATTTTCTTTGTATGTCAGTGCTTTTATTTTTCTTTTGAGAATTTTATATAATTTATTTTTTATCACATTTCTTGCCCTCCCCTAACTCCTCCCAAATTGACTACCACCTCTCCATTCTGTGGAATTCATGTTTTTATTCTCTTAAACAAATGTGGGAAAAACATAAAAAATTGGAGTCTGATTTGTGTTAACTAAGTACATTTGAACATATGACCTGCCTTGGTATGTGTTGATAAAATCATACTGCCATGGGTTTTCATCTCACTTTTTTGAAAGAATTTTCTTTTTAAACTTGGAGTATAAGGCAGTTGTTAAAAGTGAATAAGAGTTTAGTGAATAAAGTTGAGATGTGAATAAAGAGTAAATAATCTTTATAAGTCTGATATTTGCCCTGGTACTTTAAAATCGACTTTATCCTTTACTGTGAACAGAAGAAGTGGCATAAAAAGGTTCTAGAAAGATGGGACATTTGTTTTCATATGTCAGGTTTATTCATATTTTATGTGTGGTCTTTGACCAAGAAGAAGCAATTCTGTAAACTGTTTCACATTATCAAATAACCCCCCCCAGTGTGTGCATATGTTTTAACTCTCTTCTTACAAAGAGTTTTATTTAGAAATACTACTTTTTAACTAAGTAAAATTCATTTTTCTAATAACCACATGGTGAAGGAATTAGTTATTAATTTTTTTCTCTTGCTAAACTAGTAACAGAGACACAAATGTCCTGGCAGGTATTCCTCACAGATACTATTAAAGTTTTATCTGAATTGGTCTATCAGAAAACTGGAAGCCACATATCACATGAGCAAGATTGTAGCCTTTTATTGACAACGCTATAGGAGATTCTATTCTTTATTATAGGAGAGTTTATAATTTGGGATACATAAAGCACCATAATGTGTTCTTGCTTTTAATGTAATTATTTTTATTTTTATTTCATATCTCCAAGAAGCTGCAGAAAACCCTAAGGACAGTGTATTCACCAACCCTTTTGAGGATGAAGACAGACCTGTAAAAGATGATCAAGCAGCCACAGGTGATTGCTTTAATTTTCCATATTGATTTGCAAGGAAATTCTTGCACAGTGAGTAATGGTGTAATGTTTCAGAAGGAAAGACTCGTTTTCTCTTTTAAGAAAACTTTTAGAAAGTAGCCTAAAGGTAAATTGTTAGAATTTTTAGTGTTCTAGTTCAAAGTTTTTGTTGTTTTAAATCAATGCTTCCTTTTATACTACTTCCTAATTATATGAAATTCTTCATATTATATCTAATTAGATGTAAATATTCATTTATATACAGCAACTTTGATTTAAATTATTTTTTGTTTAGTGCTTTTATTTATTATATAATAATTTTTATGCATTTTTATTTTGCTCCTATTCTTTGCTCTCCCCCAAAGCTTCCCAAATTGTTCTCTATGCTTGCAACCTCTGGACTTCATATTCTTACTTTCTCTTAAACAAACATGAAAAACATACAAAAATGGGAATCTGATTTGTGTAAGAACATGTTGCCTGCCTTTGTGTGTGGTTGATATAATTAGCATTATTTCATTAAAGAAAATGGGTTTCCCTTTCTCACAGCTATCAATTCTTGTATAGGGCTAGAATTTGTATGCCCACTTCCCCTTCTCCATGCTGAGATTTTGGTAGGCTTGAGAAAGTATAAGACGTGCATTCAGTTGTGATCTTTGTGAATTTCTTTGTATACCTATTCTGTTGTGTTTTTGTTTTTTTATTATTTTTTATTTAAAAATCTTTTTTATTTTTTTAAAAAAAATCACATAGTATATTGTGATCATATTCTTTCCCCTACCTCAACTCCTCCTTGATTTGATTCTTCTCTGTTGTGTTTTTAAATGCTGTCTGGGGGACATCATTTTCCAGCTCTAGGTCAACTCTTTCTGCCCGTTCCTCTATATAAATCCCTGAGCCTCGAGGGGAGGGATGTGATACAGACATTCAATTCATGGTTGAGCACTGCAGTCTCTTGCTCTGTGCATGTGATCCACTTATAAGTCACTGTCTTACCACCACTTTAAGGTGCTTCTCTGGCGATGCTGAAGGGATGCACTGATCAATTAGTATAGCAATCTGTCATAGGAGTCATTTTATTTCTATGTCCAGTCAGCAAAATCATACTAGTAGGATTTTCCCTAAGGCTTTTTACTTGCCTAATCTCGGGTTCTTGGGCTAATTAATAGTGTCAAGTATGGGGGCCACTTAATGCTGTGGGTTTTAAATCCTTTCAAAAGTGCTTTGTTACTTCCATAATATTTGGTCTATCTTTGCACCAGTATATTTTATAGGAAGGTTGATTTTGTATATCACTAGGTTAGTATATGGGTCAGAATGATTTCTTTGCCCCTTTGGGTAGTGTGTGTAGCCCCTTTTGGCACTATGAAACATAGCCAGTTAGAGCAAAGCTTCCATTTCAGTACCAGCTAGTTGTTTCCATGTTCCAAGACTTAAATTTATTATGCATTCTGCAAATTAAAACTACCTTGAAATCTTACTGCCAAATTTTAGAGAATAACCAATAGCATTACCAGTGGCTTGTAGAATATTAGGGTGGACACAGAGACACTCTTGTCTTGAAGATATAAGAGATCAAGAAATTGCCAAGAATAATCATTTCAGGGTTTAAGCTGGAATCTTTTTTGATGATGTCAATGGGTTGAGGCATCACTGGTATGGTCCTGGTTAACAAGAAAAAGTAATGTAACATTACTAGAATTACTTAAATTTGAACCTGGGGTGTAAGTAAGGTAGTTGTTAAGAATGAAATAAGAGGAGTCTAGTGTATATAGTTCGAATTAGTTGTAGATGAAGTATAGAGTTTTGGTGGCAGTTATCTGATCTTATAATTGCCCTAGTAACTGAGGATAGATTATATCCCTTTTGATGAGTAGAAGTAGAATAAAAATGCTACAAAAAGATGGGAGAGCTTTCATGAATTTATGAATACTTTTGAACACAGAAGTAATAAAACTGTAGGTTGTTTTAAGTTATAAATCCTGTAAAATGAGAATAATCTTTGAACACAGTTGTATTAGGGTGTGTATATGTATTTGTGTGTGTGTTTCATAGCTCTCCTTATTTATAATTGGTACATTTTGCTATATAAAATTCTTTTTATCTGATAACTAAATTGTAAAAGTGTTGATGCTGAAATATCTCTTCTTTTATAAGTGTGAACATTGACACGAAGAACATGACAGATGCTCTTAACACAAAGCATTGAAATTGTCTAAATTAGATTACCAGATAACTAAAAGCTGTGCATCATGTAAGCATGCTAGTAGCCTTTCCACGACATTATAAGAGAGACTGTATTTTATTATAGAAAGTTTTATTTGACATCCATATCTGAGAATAATATGTTTTAACTTTAAATTTATACCCTTTTTTCCATTTTATATCTCAACAAGCTGGGAAAAAACCCAAGGGCAGAGGATTCACCAAACCCGGGAAAGATGAAGCTAGACCTGGAAAAGATAACCAAGCAACTCCAGGTGATTGTTTTTCTATTTTGATTTGAAAGTTAATTCCCCTATGTTGAATAGTGGTGCAGTATTTCAGAAGGAAAGACTTTTTTTTTTTTTTTTTTTTTTTTTTGGTTTTTCGAGACAGGGTTTCGCTGTGGCTTTGGAGCCTGTCCTGAAACTAGCTCTTGTAGACCAGGCTGATATCGAACTCACAAAGATCCGCCTGCCTCTGCCTCCTGAGTGCTGGGATTAAAGGCGTGCACCACCACCAGCCGGCTAGGAAAGACTTTTCTGTCTTAAAGAAACAAATACAGAAAATAACTCAATGATTAGAAATTTTCACTGTTTGTTCTAATAAACGCCTTCTCTTTGAAGAATTAGACTAAAATGAAGGGCTTTCATTTTAGATAATGAAACTAGTTCTTGATGATATCAAATTGTATTGTATATAAAACTTTAATTTTTGTGGCATTTTGGGTTAAAATTGTTTTTCCGTATTTAATGCTTTTATTTATTCTTTGAAAATCTTATACAATTCAATTTGATCTTATTCTTTCCCATCCCCTAATTCATTTCAAACTATCTTCCACCACCCTGTCCTTTAAACTTCATGTTCTTTCTCTCTCTTAAAAATAATGAAAATCACATAAAAAAATTGGGCGTTTCATTTGTGTTAGCCAACTATTCCTGAACATGTGGCCTGCCTTAGAGTATGGTTGATATACCTACCTAGTGTTATTACATTGGAGAAAACTGATTTTCTCTTTCCCAACAGCTATAAACTGTGAATCCGTTTGCTAGGACTGGGACTTTGTGCCCACTTCCCCTCATCCATGCTAAGAATTTGCCAGGTTTGAGCTTATAGTCATCTTGTACATTCTGTTATAGTCTTTCTGGCTTCATGTGGTTGTTTACTCAGGTGTTTCTGGAAAATAAAATATTACCTGGTGGAAGTCCTTTTCCAGTTCTGGCTGGAATCTTTTTGCCTCCCATTCCACATAGAACCCTGAGCCTTGAGGGGAACAGTGTGATACAAATAGCTCATCTGAGGTACAGCACTCCAAAGTTTCTCACTCTCTGCAGGTTCTTCAGCTGTTGGTCCCTGTATTGATTACCTTATACTGCAAGAAACTTCTCTGAAGAGGATTAAGAATTATCATGATCAATGTTCATAATATGTTTTAGTGGTCGCTTTATTACTGTGTTCATTTAGCAGAGTCATAGGAGTGGGATTTTCACTAAGTCTTATGATCTTATCTACATTAACAGTGTCAACTATGGATTCCATCTCATGAAATGGGCCCTAATTTCTATAAAAAAGGGTTGGCTTTCTCTATAAAAGTCGCATCACTATTGCACCAGTGTATGGTGCCAGGAGGTTGTTATAATAGGTCACAGGACTGGTAGATGAATCAGGCTGATGATTACTTTTCTTCTCTGAGAGTGTGTATAGCAATGTTTACCACTGTAAGTCATAGTCATTAGTGCTGAAGCTTCCATTTGAATAGCAGCTAGGTTTCTCCATGCTCTATAACAGAAGTATTTGGTTTGTTCAGTAAATTAAAACTATCTTGAGATTCTTGCCATCAAGTTGATGAGGGTAATTAATAACTTTGTCCGTGGCCTATAATATTAGGAGTGGGTTCTCTGGAACATCTTTGTCTAACACCTCAAAAAGTGGTAACCCATTTCTTGCTTTAGCGGGGATTTTTGGTAATATGTGTTTTCTAGTTAGGGTTGTTTCCCTCTATGACATGCAGATTTCACTTAAACTTTTCTATATGCATGTATGAATGTGTATATGTTTCAGGAAGCTTCTAATATAGTAGTTTCCTTATGGATTTTTTGAGAGGCTTTACTGTTAGATATTCCTCCCCACCTTCCTAACTCTGATCTTTACTCCTACAACCTTTAATCTATATAGTTTTGAAATTTAGCCTACTTGATTAATCTTACAAATGTGCCTATGTCCACTCAGTTTGTTGCAGATTATTTTCATTACTTATAGATGTGCTATGCAACTGGTGATTCCTCCTGAAGGAGATGAGATGTGGCACTCACAGTCCATGTCTAGCCTTCTACACTCACCATCTTCAGGCCCATATCGTCTTTTCCCTGCCTGGGACCAGTGGCCTATTGAGTTTTAAATTTTAATTTAATATGTTTTCTTTGCCTAAATAATTTATTTGGAATCACTATTTCCACTTTTCTATGCAAGGTGCTAAGTTTCTTATCTGATTACTGAACTGACTGCTTGAATTTGGGGTCATTAGTCATCCTTAAAACTGGACTTTTGAATTCTTTATCCCAAATTTTTACCATTTCCGTGTCTTTGAATTTCATTGTGGAGGAGTAAGGAACTTAATAAAATGACATATTTCTTTTAATCATCTGTCTGCATGTTTGTTTTTACACTTACATGCAGGTATCTTCAGAGGACAAAACAGGATATTGGAACCTTTGAGCTGTAGTTACAGGCAGTTGTGAACCATTTGATACAAGAGTTGGAAATAAATTCTGGTCCTTGTAAAGGCAGCATCTTGTGCTCTTAACTGCTAAACCATCTCTTTAGTCCCCAGGAATGTTTTAAGATAGTGTGATAGAATAGTTAAGGTCAATCACAGAAACAGATGTTAATCTTTATATAAAGTGGAAGGTTGAGTCATTTGCTGAATGGACCAGAGAAAGACAGAGGTAGTAACTTAAGCAGAAGAAAACACTAGATCATGAGAATATACTTAAAAACCAATTACAAGAGTGACTCCTCCTTGTAGAATAGTGTGGAATTTTCATAAAGCCCATGAAATTGTGACACAAGATTTTTTTATATTAATTGGTTTTTATTTATTTATATTTTGCATACCAACCACAGTTTCCCTCTCTCTTCTTCTATCCTTTCCCCCCACCTCCCTTTTACCTCTCCCATCCACTCCTTCTCTGCCTCCATTCAGATGGGGTAAGGCCTCTAGTGGGAATCAATAAAACATGGGATATCAAGTTGAGGCAGGACCAACCTGCCATAGAGAATAGGTTCCAAAGAGCCAGTTCATGCATCAGGAACAGGTCCTGGTCCCCCAGCTAGGGGCCCCACAAAAGGCCAAGCTACACAATTGTCACTCAGATGCAGAGGGTCTTAAGTTGATCCCATGCCAGCTCCCTAGCTGTCCATCCAGAATCCGTGAGCTCCAATCTAATTATAGGGGAAGGCCAGTTCAGGCACCCTCTTCACTATTGCTAGGAGTCTTATCTCTGCTCATCCTTGTGAGTTCTTAGGAATTTCCCTGGCACCAAGTTTTTCCCTAACGCCATAATGGCCCACTCTATCAAGATATCTCTCTCATTACTCTTACCTCTTCGTCCTGTCCTCAACTTGACCATCCTGATCCCTCATGTTCCCATTTTCCCCATCATTGGTTTTATTCTTTACAGCAAGCACACAAATATGTTTATGTGACAGACTTTATATGCCTTTAGAATGTTTACTATTTACAAATGTCTAGCTCTTTACAAAAAAAGATTGCTGATCACTTTTCTGTTGATTCTGCTAGAGGAAGTGATGACAAATGACATGGAGGTGAGAACTGATAGCTCAGGAGCATTGAAGGAAGGGATACTTCATTTAAAAAGTATTAGTGGGGGTAGACAGTTGAGTGCAAGTTGTGTCAGAAGGAGAGCAAATCCTCAAGGAGCCTAAATATAGCTGGGCCCTAACATCTTCCTCGGGGGAGGGAGTGAGAAGGCACTGCATTAGTGACTCAGACACTGGGAATCAGGTAGAAGGCATATAGCAGACTCATTTATTTAGCAATGTGGAAAACTTTATATACCCTCCCAGCACCCAGGCATTCTGATCTGTTATCATTGTGTGGTTGCCCCTTATTGGCTAGGCATGAACAGGACCTCTGGAAGCACCTGTTGCTATGCCCTCAGGAAGCATTGTCTGGTCACCCCTCCTTGGCTATGCACAATCAGGACCTTTGACAGCGACTGTTGCTAGCCCCTCAGGCCGACTCCAGGTTGACTCATCTCTCAGCCTTGTAGGCCTTTTCTTCCTGCCCCTAATGACTTGAATAAAAATAGAGGGAACTGTGGCTAAACTTGGCAGTGCAAGTAAAACACTCTCATTAGTCTGAAACTAAAGATAGTAAGTAAAGGAGTTGAAGGTGGACAAAGGGACATGGTTGTCTTGGGAATAGAAGATTCAGAAATTGCCAAGAATAACAAAAGGGCCACTGGAATCTTTAGTGATAATGTCAGTGTGATGGAGTATCAGTGGTCTGATCCTGGTGAAAAATCCTGATATTGATGACAGGGAGTGTGAGTAATATTACTAGAATTCTTTTAAAACAGGAGTTTTCAGCATGAAATATAAGGTAGTTTGTAAAAATAAATGAGTATAGTCAAGTTTATTTAAGTGAATTAGTTGTAAATGGGGAGGTAAAGTTATGACCACAGTTAAATGGTCATATTTTTTCCTGGTAGCTGAAGACAGATATGTGTGTGTCTTTCATATCTCTACTTGTAAATAATTGTTAGTTGAATTCAGTATTTTTTACTATATAAAATTCATTTATCTTATAACTAAATTACAAAGTCATTGATATTCTCTGTCTCTCTCTCTGTCTGTGTGTGTGTGTGTGTGTGTCCTGTGAACATAGACACATATAACCTGGCAAGTAATCTTTACATGAAATACTAAAGTTTTTGAATTGGATTACCAGGCTGCATGTCACAAGAGCATGGTTGTAGCCTTTTCATGTTATATGAAGCTTTATTATTTGGCATTCCTACAGGAACATAATGAGCTCTATTTGTAAATATGCATCATTTTATTTTTCATTTCATACCTCAACAAAGCTGGGGAAAAACCCAAGGGCAGAGGAATCACCAAAACTTGGGAAGAAGCCAGACCAGGGAAAGATGTCCAAGCAGCCCCAGGTGATTGTTTTGGTTTTTTATAAAGATTTGCAAAATAATGCCTCTATATTTATTATTCTGTTTTAAGAAAACAAATGCAGAAAGTAGCTCAATAATTAACTGCTAGTAATTTTCATCATGCTAGTCTAATGTATATGGTTGTTCTAAGAGAAGCTTCCTTTTGGAGAATTAGACAGTTTCTTGATTATATGAAAATCTACTGCATGAGAAACATCAATTTTGTACTTTTGTTTGAAAATATTTTATTTTTCTTCATTTAATTCTTTTATTAATTGTTGAAGATTTTCATGCTGTTTATTTTGATCATATTCTTTTCCCTGTCCCACCTCCTCCAAAATTGTTCTTCATGTCCCTGTCCTCCAATTTCATGGTCTTTCTATTTCTTAAAAAAAATGAAAGACACATACAAATGGGAGAGTGATTTGTGTTACCTAGCTACTTCTGAATATGTGGCCTGCTGTGGAATGTGGTTGACATAACCAATGTTACTCCATTGAGGAGAAATGATTTTCCCTTTCTCAGAAACTATCAATTATTGAATAGTTCTGCATTTTATATCCACTCCCCTCCTCCATGCTGGAATTTTGTTTGGCTTGAACTTGTAAAGACATGGATATTCTGTTTGTTTTTCTTTTTGAGTTCCTTTGTGCATCTGCTATTTTGTGTTTAGAAAGCACTGTATCATCTAAGTTCTTTTCTATCTCTGCCTAAAATATATCTGCCTACTCTTCCACATCAGTAGCTGAGCCTTGAGTGGAGAGGGCTGTGTTATAGAAATCCTATTTAGAGTTGAGCGCTCCAAAGTATCTCATTCTCTGTGGATTGTTGGGTTGTAGGTCTGTTTCTTAATTAACATCCACTGCAAGAAGCTTTTCTGAAAAGAATTGGGTGTTGTAGTAATCAGTGAGTATAACAGTAAGTCATTAGGAGTTATCTTATTACATTATCCCTTTATCACAGAACCTGTCTAGTCTCACGTTCTTGATATCATTAACAGTGTCAGATATTGGCTCTATCTTATGGAGTAGTCCTTAAATCCATTTAAAACATGGTTGGAAACTCTCATAACATTGCGTTAGCGTTATGCTATTCAGCATGTCTTCTGCTCATGTGGTTATTATAGCTCACAAACTTGACAAAAATTTGTGGTATGCTCAGAAACTAAAAATACTTTGAGATTCTTGCCATCAAGTTTTAGAATGTAATCAGTAGTATTGGCAATGTCCTGTAGCAGTGGTTCTCAACCTTCATACTGCTGTGATTCTTTAATACAGTTTCTCATGTTGTAGTGACCCCAACCATAAAATTATCTCATTGCTACGTCATAACTGTTATTTTGCTACTGTTATGAATTGTAATGTAAGTATCTGATATGCAACTCCTTTGTGGGTCATGACTCAGATTGAGAACCACTGACCTATAGTGTTAGGGGTAAAGCAATTTGGCCAACATTGACAACTCATTGCTGGCACAGGGTTTTTTTCTTTTTTTAATTTTATAACATGTCTTGTCTGTTTGTGATGGCTTCCTTCCAGTATACAGTCACTTCATTTAAAATGTTTTTATATGTGTATATATTTAATATTCAGGACCTAGAAGGGTTCCTTAAGGCTTTTTTGAAATGCTTTTCACTTTATATGTCCCTCCCCAAATTCCTTCCTCTATTCTTTGCTCCTATCCCCAGTTCCCATCAATCCATATATTTTGTTTGTTATATTTAGACATGGAAGATTTATTTTTAATTGAGCTGTATTTATTTTTATATATGCATTTCATTGTCATAAGAGGATAGGAGAGTATTGTTTCTCTGGAAGTAGCACTACAGGCAGTTTGGAGCCACTTGATATCTTATTGGAAATGAACTGTGGTCCTCTGGAAGGGTAACCACAAGCACTCTTAATAACTATCCACCTCTGCAGCCCTAAGGAATGTTTTAAGATGGTGTAACGGTATAGTTAAGGTCATTCACAAAGACAAATTTTAGTCTTCATATAAACTAGAAGGTTGAATGCTTTGCTGAATGGAGCAGAGAGAGCTAGAAGTAGGAACTTAAGCAAAAGGAAACATTGTAGCCTCGATATATACTTAAAAGTCAAGTAAAACAATGACTTCTCCATAGAAATGAGGTTGGACTTTACATAGAATCATATATAGCCTATGTAGTATATGTGATGAAATTGATTTTTATGTTCTTTGAATAGTTTTTAGCTGTCAGACAAAGAATATGTGAAAGATACCATATGTGATCATCGTTATGTGTACTGTTTAGCCCTTTACAGAACTAGATTGCTAATCTGTATACTGTTGCTTCTTATTGAAGGAAGTAAATGAGTGTGTGACTTAGTCAGGAGCTGACTTACTGCTTAGGGGTGACAAAGGGGTACTTCATTTAGAAGTATTGGTGGAGGTGGACAGTTGAGGACAAGTTGTATCAGGATTAGAGAAAACCAGAAGAAATCTAAGAGAACTATGGATAAACTGCAATGAGTGTGTAAAACATGATCATTTGAAAACTAAAGGTACTGAGTAAAGGAGTCGAAGGTAGACAAAAAAACACTGTAGATCCAGAAAATTGTCTAGAATAACCAGTTCAGGGCCTTAGCTGGAACTTTTAATGATGATGTCAATGTGATGAGGTGTAGGTGGTCTGGTCCAGGTCAACATCCTGAAACTGACGTCAGGAAGACAATGTAAGAAAGAATAATGTAAGTAATATTACTAGATGTTTTTTGTTTTGTTTTGTTAAACTGGAAGTTTTAAACCTAGAGTGTAAGCTAGTTGCTAAGAATAAAATGGGTCTGGTGCATATAGGTGTATTGGTTTGTAAATAATGGATACATTTACAATGCTACTTAAATGATCTTAATTTACACTGGCAACAGAGGCGGGGCGGTGGTGGCGCACGCCTTTAATCCCAGCACTCGGGAGGCAGAGGCAGGCGGATCTCTGTGAGTTCGAGACCAGCCTGGTCTACAGAGCTAGTTCCAGGACAGGCTCCAAAGCCACAGAGAAACCCTGTCTCGAAAAACAAAAAAAAAAAATAAAATTTACACTCGCAACAGAGGATAGACTCTGTCCGTTTTTGGTGAGTAGTAGAAGTGGAAGAAAAAGGCTGAAGAAAGATGGGATATTTGCTATCCCATGTCTTGTTTATGCATACTCTTGTGGTATTTGGGCAATGAAAAAAACAAAGCAGTAGACTGTTTCAACTTAAAAAATAAAGCCCTCAAGATGTTAGTATTTGTGCATGTGTGTGCATGTACATGCATGTGTGTATCATATCTACCTACAAAGCATTTTAAATTATACTTAGTAATATTTGCTATGTAAAATTAATTTTTATTAATAACCTAAATTTGTAGGCATTGATACTGATATTTATTTTTTTAACTATAAAACACTTACAAAAATAACCAGGTAGTTATCTTTACAGAAAATATAAAATAATCTAAACTGAGCTACCAGGAAATTGGAAGCTGTGTATTATATGATCATGATATCCTTTTCATGACAACATTGTAGGAAGAGAATCTATATTTTATAATAAGAAGCTTTATTGTTTGGCATACATACAGGAACATAATGAATTCTAGCTGTAAATATAAATCATTTTTATTTTTTATTTCATACCTCAACAAAGCTGGGAAAAAGCCCAAGGACAGAGGATTCACCAAACCTTGGGAAGAAGAAGCCAGACCAGGGAAAGCCAGACCAGGGAAAGATGTCCAAGCAGCCCCAGGTGATTGCTTTGGTTTTGTATAAAGATTTGCAAGATTATTTCTCCATATTTAAGAATGTTGTAGTATTTCAGAAGGAAAGACTCCTTTCTGTTTTAAGAAAAAAATGTAAGCCAGGCTGTGGTGGCACGTGCCTTTAATCCCAGCAATTGGGAGGAAGAGACAGGCAGATCTCAGTGAGTTTAAGGCCAGCCTGGTCTATAAGGCAAGTTCCAGTACAGCCACGACTTTTACACAGAGAAACCCTGTCTTGAAAAAATCAAAAAAAGAAGAAGAAGAGGAGGAGGAGGAGATATTTTCTAAATATTTATGTTTTATTAATCCAGCAGCATTTATATTTAAATGTCTTTTAGCAATTCAAAGGCAGCATAATAATATAAAGTATCCAGACTCTCTGTGTCTTTTTCATCTTTACATGGCTTTGTTTTAACCTCTCTTTTATTTTTACTTTTAATTTTTGGCTTTTTGAGACAGGTTCTCTGTGTATCTTTGGCTGTCCTGGAACTCTCTCTGTAGATCAGGCTGTTTTTGAACTCACAAAGATCTGCCTGCCTCTGCCTCCCAAGCGTTGGGATTAAAGGTGTGCGCCACCACTCCCAACTACTCTCTTTTTTTATTTTAAGGACTTTAACCTTTTTCTTTTCTCTCCCAAGCCAGTATATAGTTTTTAAACACACTGTAAACCATTTACAGGTTTTCTTTGAATCTATCTTTACTGTATATCTCTCTCTTTCTGACCACATGAGTCTTTAATATGCAAAGCAATATGGAAAGGATTAAAGCCGTGACTTTGATGGCTGGATCCAGCCCATTCCTTAGCTTTCTGAGATTCATGCCTCATTGTAGAGGTACGGCAGGAGCCATGTTTATTGTCACAACTCTATGGTATTTCAAGGTCCCTGCCACCAAGCAAGCTCCAGCAGTCTGTTCACAAACCACACTCAAATGCTCTGTAGCTGGACCTCTTGTCTGAAAGAGTCAGATTTTGGCACTGGCAGGATGGCCCAGAAAGCGGGCATTTTAAAATGGAGTGGCTTTATTCCTGCTATGGATAAAAACCAAAAGGCATGTGGTCAGCTTTTCATCAACAACATTTAAGTGTTTCCTGGCAGGACCTCTTAAAAGAACTGCAAGGTTTTGCAGCTAATACTGAGTCAGGAAGCCTTTCTTAAATGAGAGCGCTTGCCTCTAGCAAGCAGAGCCCACTAGAGAAAATGCTGCTATTAATAAGCCATGCTTTACTCTTATTTTTTGTCTAGTATTACTTTTTAAGCTCTCTCAGGCTTTATGTGGATGCAGTTGTTCACACGTTGGGCACCATTCTATTGTCAGGATTTCTGTCCTGCCCAGTTCCCAAAGTCATTAAGTCCTAAAGAAATCACACAGAGGTCTACATTAGTTATAAACCGATTGGCCCATTAGCTTAGGCTTCTTATTAACTTTTATATCTTATATTAGCCCATTATTCTAGTATATGTTAGCCACATGGCTTGGTACCTTTTTCAGCGAGGCAGTCACATCTTGCTTCCTCTACAGCTGGGTAAAGGACTCGGCTGCTCCCTTTTTGGTGAAAAGTAAAAGTAGGATGCCAAAGCTGCAGAAAAATTTAATACTTGTTATCACAAGTTTATTGTATGCGTATTATATCATCTTTAAGTATGGAAAAAGTAAAGCAGTAGTAAGTAGTCAGTGTGACTACTCTTTAACTTTGTAAAGTAAAACACTCCAAGTAAATGTAGTTGAGCTTTGAATATGTTTATGATTTCATATCTCTTCCTCAAAAGCTTGTTTATTTAGAAATAGTGGATTTTAGTATATAAACATTATTAAGTTGTTAAGGTGTTGATACTGAACTATATCATTTGTTTATTTGGTATTTGTTTATTTATTCATTTATTCATTTATTTATTTATTTATTTCTGGTAACATAATCAAAATTAGCCTGGCAATCAGTCTTCATCCAAAGTATTAAAATGGCCTAAATTGGGGTGCCAGGTAGCTGGAAGCTTCATATGACATGAGCATTTTCTGAAGCTGTATAGCATCTGAGTCTTTTCAAGACAACACTGTCTCAGAGAGTATACATTATGAGTAGAACCTTTATAATTTGCCATACCTATTTAATATAATGTGTTCTAGCTTTAAATATACGTAAATTTGTCTTTCATTTTATAACATAACAAAGTTGAGAGTAAACCAAAGAGCAAGAGAGTCACCAAACCTTGGAAAGAACAGGCCACTCCTTTTGAAGATGAAGCAGAAGCCCCAGGTGATTGTGTTGCTTTATCTGTCTGTATTGACTTATAAGGTGATTCTTGTGTATTGAGTGAATAATGATGTAGTGTTTTCAGAAGGAAAAGACTTTTTCATTTTAAGAAAAAAAATTTTTAGCCGGGCATTGGTGGTGTACACCTTTAATCCCCGTATTCAGGAGGTAGGGGCAGGTGGATCTCTGTGAGTTCAAGGCCAGCCTGCTCTACAAAGTGAATTCCAGGACTGCTTGGACTATTAAACAGAGAAACCCTGTCTCAAAAAAATTTTTTAAAGAAAACAAATTTTAAAAGTAAAAATAATTTTTATAGAATTATCACTGTGATAATTCAAATTAGATAATTATTCTAAGAAATTCATCCTTTTGAGAATTAAATGGTTTTCTGATTATAAACTCTTTTGGTTTTTAAAAAAGAAAACTCTTTGTTGCAATTATAATTTTAAGTCTAACCTTTCTCCCTTCCTTTAACCTCTCTCCAAACTCTACCATATACCTTTCCTGCTCTCCAAATTCATGACCTCTTTTCTCACTAATTCTCACATACTAATGCATGTAATGTACTGCATACATATGTGCATGTGTATATAAATACATAAAATGTATTTCTAAATATAACCTGTCCAGTCTGTATAATGCTACTTGTATATATGTTTCCAGGGCTGGCTTTTTGGCACCAGACAAATAATTGTTGTGCTTTTCCTTGAGGAAGGCCACTTCTCCAGTTTCCAGCTTTCCTTGGTTGCTGATAGTTCACTGTATAGGGTTGGCACATTGTGCACTTTTCTCTTTCCAGTTTGGCATATGAATAGTGAACACAAAAATGATCTGTAGGTGTAAAGGCAAATGTTTATAGATTTTTGTTAGAAATTATGCTGGTTTAGCAAATTAGTGGTTATAGATTCTCCTCCAATAATCATCACTTCACTAGCATAGAGGTTTTAGGTGGGTTTCAAATAGCAGGCATAGTCTCCCTCTTGTTGAGTTGTAGGTTTTACGTCCAAGTAAAGTGCTATTGGTTACTGCCAAGTTATGTGTGCCACTAATACATCCTTAGGTTATCATGTCATGATGGGCATTATGACATATCAAATGATCAATAGGATAGCCTTTTCATGACTATACTGTAGTAGAAATTTTTTTGGCATACATACTAAATGGAACATAATACCTTCTCGCTTTAAGTGGACATATTTTTTATTTTTATTTCATACCTCAATAATACTGAGAAAAATTATGTGTATTGATTTACAACCTGACTCCTGCATATTCAATAATGGTATAATGTTTTCAGTATAGAATTGCAATCTGGTGGACTTTTCTCTGTCCAGTTTGCATACATATAGATATCACTTTTATTCAGCTCTTGTTTGGGCAATCATGTTGATGAAACTTTATGGGTACTGTTTTTTATATTACTGAATGACACAGTCTTACAGCAAGCTCCCCTATATTCTGACCTATCAAATCTTTCTACTGCCTCTTGGACAGTGTTCCCTGAGCCTTTCCTAAGGTGCAGGAGTATTTTGTAGATGGATTCATTGTAATTGAGCTCCATGTCTATGGATTTTGAAAGGTTGTGGATATTTGTAGTGATGTTTGTGATTTGCAAAGAGACGTTGCCCTGATGAAGAGTACAGACTACTATTGTCTTAGGATATGAGGACAAATGTTTATGAATTATTGCTAGGGATTACCTTGTTTAGTAAATCAGTGCTTGTAGATTCTTTTCTAATAATCATTTCACCAAGCACAGAGTTTTTACTGGCTTTCTGGTGCCAGGCATTCTCGCCCTCTTGTTGAACGAGTCTTAAGTCCAACTAAAGAGCTGTTGATTACAAGGAAGGTATGCATGCCACTGCTCTATACCTAGAGTTGTCATACCATGAAGGGCATTGTTACATTTCAAGTGAGCTTGATGGTAGCCTTCTTTAGAATGTATGCATTAGGGAGGGGGACTTGATTGGGGGAGGGGGAGGGAAAGGGGAGGCGGCGGTGGGGAAGAGACAGAAATCTTTAATTAATAAATAAATTAATTAATTAAAAAAAGAAGTTTTATTATTTGGCAAACATAGTGGATTAAACATAATGTGTTCTAGCTCTCAATGTACATGATATTTATGTTCCATTGTATACTTCAATAAAGCTAAGAAAAAGCCCAGGGTCAAGACAGTCACCAAACCACGGAAAGACCAAACCGAACTTTTTGAGTATGAAGAAGCAGCCCCAGGTGATTGTTCTGTTTTTACTATATTGATTCATATAATTTTTGCCATATATTTAATAATGATATAATGATTTTAGGAGGCAAAACTGTTTTTACCTTTAAATAAACAAATATAAGTACCAAATGATAAATTTATAGGAATTCTCAATGTGATAAGTCAAAATTGTTTCTTAGTATAAGAAATTCATTCTTTTGGAGAATTAGATTGTTTCTTGAATACAGATTCTTTTAATATTTTCAAGGAGAAGTATCTCATATTTATTGAGATTATCATGTAATTGCAACCTTTCTCCATACCCATTCCTCCCTTGAAAACCTCCCATTTTAACCACCTTCTCTGTGCCATAATTCATGACCTCTTTTTTACAGTAATTCTTAGTGATTGTATTTTAGAATGTCTATGTGTACACACACAAACACACATATTCATAAATATAACCTGCTCATTCTGTATAATAATACCTGTATATATGGTTTCTTGGCTGGCTTTTTGGTACCAGTGATTTGATGTATTCTTTCTGGGTATTCCCACACCTCCTATTGATTGTTTCCTTCAGTTTTCTATCATCCTTTGAGTAGGGTTGAAGCCTCATGGACTTTTCTCTGTCTAGTTTATATTTGTATTGGTGCTACTCTTGTTCATCTCATATTTGGACAGTGATGTTTGTCAGGTTTTATATTTGTTTCTCCTGATATTACTGAGAGACACAGTCATAGAGCAATTAACTCACCCTCTGCTCTGATGAACTTTTAGGCCCCTCTTGGATAGTGTTCCCTGAGCCTTATCTTAGGTGCAGGCGTGTTCTGTAGATGTATCCACTCTGATTGTGCTCCACTACTCACTCTCTGCTTTGATTGATTGTGGATTTCTGTAAGGGTCTCGGATTTTTCCAAACCAGAGTTTTCTTGATGAGGAGGAGTAAGGCCATTCTTATCTTTGGGTATAAGAACAATGTTTAGAGATTGTTGTTAGGAATTATGCTGTATTAGTAAGCTAGTGGTTGTAGATTTCTTCTTTTTTTTTTTTGCAGGGTGAGGTTGAATGTTTATTCAGGGGGTTATGAAGGAGGAAGGGTGAAGGGGGGGACAGAGAGGGAGGGAGAGAGGGAGAGGGAGAGGGAGAGAGAGAGAGAGAGAGAGAGAGAGAGAGAGAGAGAGAGAGAGAGAGGGGAGAGAGCGCTGTAGATTTCTTCTTAATCATCATTTTACCAGCATAGAGTTTTTAGCCGAGTTTTTATTACCAGGCATGCTCTCCCTCTTGTTGCAAGTAAAAGTACTATTGATTACAAAGAAGGTATGTGTTCTGCTTCTACATTCTTTGATTTATCATGCCATGATAGGCATTGTGGTAGTAGCCTTTTTTACTGTAATGCTATATTAGAGCATATGCTTTAGTATTGGAAGATTATTATTTAGAAACCATAGTGGATTAAACATAACATGTTCTAGCTTTATTTTTTATTGTGGAAGAATGTAGCATTTTCCCTCTCTTCATGCATCACGTCACTGAATGCTTTTTTATCAGAGTTCCTTTCAACCAGTATATCATGTCTGGACTTTAACAAAAAGTTACATGACCTACTACACATCTGTAAGCATTATAACAAACTCAGAAATTCACTAGACTAGCATAAATGTTTAATGCTTTCTAAGTCTCTGGCAGGCCCAACTGGTAAGGATTTTTTTCATCAGTTACTAGATGTTCTAGTTTTAAATGTACATAATCTTTGTTTTTCATTTCATACCTCAATAAGCCAAGAAAAAACCCAAGGCCGAGACAGTAACCAAACCATGGAAAGACCAAGCTGGACATTTTGAGTATGAAGAGCCAGCAGCCCCAGGTGATTGCTTTTTTGTTTTGTTCTTACCTATATTGATTCACGTGATGTTTTCCAAATATTGAATAATGGTGTAATGTTTTTAGAAGGCAAGAGTGTTTTTCCCTTTTAAGTAATCAAATATAAGTAACACAATGATAAATTCATAGAAATTTTCACTGTGATAAGTTAAATTTGTCTCAGTATAATAAGTTCATCCTTTTGGAGAATTAGATTGCTTCTTGATTACAGAATCTTTTCATGTTTTCATGAAGAAGTATCATTTTTATGAGATTATCATTTAATTGCAACCTTTCTCCACATGCTTTCTTCCATTCAAAACCTCCAATTTCAACCACCTTCTCTGTGCCACAATTTTTGGCCTCTTTTCACATAATTCTTAGCGATTGTATTTAAAAACGTCTATGTGTACACACACACACACATGTTCATAAATGTAACCTCTTCAAATCTGCATAATAATACCTATATATATATTTTTTTTCCATGACTGGCTTGTTGACACCAGGCAGTGATTCAGTATTTTCTTCATTGGGTAGTTCCAATTTTCCTTTTACGAGTTTCCTTCAGTTTTCTATTGTCTTTGGTGTAGGGTTTAATCCTCATAGACTATTCACTGTCCAGTTTGTGTATGTATTGGTGCCATTCTTGTTCAGCTGATATGTGGACAGGGATGTTTGTGAAGTTCTATGTGTGCTTCTCCTCATATTTGTAGGAAATTTAGTCTAGGGCAAATTCCCTCACCTTCTGACTCTGATGATCTCTCAGCCCCTAAGTTGGAGAGTGTTCTTTGAGCCTTATGTTATGTGCAGCAGAGTTCTGTAGATATATTCATTCTGACTGGGCTCGGCCACTCTGGTTTGATTGGCTGTAGAATTCTGTAATAGTCTCTCGCTGTTCCAAACCAAAGTTTTCTTGATGAAGAGTAAATATGACAATTATCTTCAGGTATAAGAACAATGTTTATAGATTATTGTTAAGGATTATGCTATATTAGTAAGTTAGTAGTTGTAGATTTCCTCACCAATAATCATCATTTGATCAGCACAGGGTTTTTAGCTAGGTTTCCATTACCAACCATGCTCTTCCTCTTGTTGAGGGAGTCTTAAGTCCAATTAAGGGTTTCTGGTTACAAAGAAGATAATGTGTTCTAATGCTGCATACTTTGAGTTATCATGCCCTAATGAGCATTGTTACAAATTACGTAAGCATGATGGCTGCCTTCTTTAGGAAAAGGATGTCAGAGCATATGCTTTAATATTGCAAACTTTATTGTTTTAGAAAACATAGTGGATTAAACATAATGTATCATAGCTTTCAATGTACATAATCATCATTTTTCATTTCATATCTAAATAAAGCTGAGAAAAAAATCAAGGGCAAAGCATCACTAAACCATGGAAAGACCAAACTGGACTTCTTGAATATGAAGGAGGAGCCCCAGATGTTTGCTTTGTTTTGATCTACATTGATTCATATCATGTTTGCCAGATATTGAATAATTGTGTAATGTTTTTAGAAGACAAGACTGTTTTTAATTTTAGAGATAATAAGTATAAGTACCACAGTGATGAATTCATAGAAATTTTCACTGTGATATACCAAATCTTCTTTTGTCCATTTCCTTCAGTTTTCTATTGTGTTTTGAATAGGGTTGAAGCCATATGTCTAGATTGTATAAGTATTGGTACCATTCTTGTTGAACTTACGTTTGAGCAGTGATGTTTGTCAGGTTTTATGTGTGTTTCTCCTGATATTACTAGGAGACAAAGCCATAGAGCATATTCCCTCACTCTCTGACTCTGATGATCTTTCAGTCCCCCCTCTTGGGTTGTGTTCCCCGGGCCTTATCTTATGTACAGGTGTGTTCTGTAGATGTGTCCACTCTGATTGTGCTTCACCACTCTCTGATTTGATTGCTTGTGGATTTGTGTAATAGCCCCTTGTCATTTGAAACCAAAGTTTTCTTGATAAAGAATAAAAACTACAGTTATCTTCAGGTATAAGAACAATATAGATTGTTAGAGATTATGCTGTGTTAGTATATTAGTGGTTGTAAATTCTTCTCCAATAAACATAATTTCACCAGCACCAAATTTTTAGTTGGGTTTCCTTTACAGGCAATCTCTCCCTCTTGTCGAGGAGTCTTAAGTCCAATTAAGATCTTCTGGTTACAAAGAAGTCTGTGTTCCAATACTGCATAATGAAGAGTTATCATTCTGTAATGGGCACTGTTACATATCACAGGATCATGATGGTAGCCCAATACAAGGCTGTATTAGAGCATATGTATTAGTATTGAAAGCTTTATTATTTAGAAATCATGTATTAAACATAATGTGTTTTAGATTCATTATACATAATCTTTGTTTTTGTTTCATACCTCAATAAAGCTGAGAAAAAACGCAAGGGCAAAAAAGTCACCAAACCATGGACAGACCAAACTGGACTTTTTGAATATGAAGAAGCAGGTCCAGGTGATTGCTTCGTTTTGTTTTGTTTTTATCTATATTGACTTAATGGTCTCTAGCTATTGCAAACCAAGGTTTTCTTGATGAAGAGTAAAGACTACAGTTATCTTCAAGTATAAGAACAAGGTTTTAGGTTGTTGTTAGGGAATATGCTGTTTTAGTAAGTTAGTAGTTGTAGATTTCTTCTTAATCATTTGATTAGCACAGTCTTTTTAGCTGGGTTTTCATTACCAGGCATGCTCTCTCTCTCTCTTGTACAAGTAAAGAGCTCTTGATCACAAAGAAAGTACATGTTCTACAGCTGCACACTTGTTATCATGCCATGATGGACATTGTTACATGTAGCATGAGCATGTTGGTAGACTTCTTCATGACAGAGTTATATTAGAGCATATGTATTAGTATTGGAAGCTTTACTATTTGGAAAACATAGTGGATTAAACATAACATGTTCTAGCTTTAAATATACTTAATCGTTGTGTTTCATTTTGTATCTCAATAAAGCTAAGAAAAAACACAAGGGCAAGACAGTCACCAAAACATCGAAAGACCAAGCTGGACTTTTTGAATACGAAGAACCTGCCCCAGGTGATTGTTTTTAATATATATACATACACATTTTGTATATACATATGTATATTTTATAAATATAAATCATACACAAAGTAATTATATATGAATAAATATAAATATTTAAATATATTTAACCACATTGTGAACATAAATATAATGTCATTATATATCATGACCATACACCTATACACATAAACATAGTCATTATATAATGTATATACATACATAAACACAAACCTATATTTATATACAATTACTATGTGTATTCAGAAGGTGTTTGCCATATATTGCATGGAGTAATGTTTTTAAAAGGATTTTTTTTACTTTTTGTAAAAAAATAAAATTATCACAATAATAAATTCATAGAAATTTTTACTGTGAATGATCAGATTGGTTATAAGTTCATCCTTTTTGAGAATTAGATTGTATCCTGATTATAATTTTCTTCATGTTTTCAAAGAGAAAATTCTCTTTCATTTTGAAATTATAGTTTCATTTCAACCTTTCTCCCTACCTGATCCTCCTCCCAAATTTCCTGTATCCCTCCGTTCTCTCTGCCAAATATATGACCTTTTCCCTCACTTACGCTTTAGTGCTTGCATTCAAGAATATCTACATACATGTATAGCCCTGAATATAACTTGTTTAGTCTATTTAATAATACCTGTATTTTTGTTTTCGTGGCTATCGTTTTCTATCTGAGAGTGAATTAGTATGTTCTTCCCTGGGGATTCCCACCTCTCCCATATCTTCCATTTTCTGTAGTTCTTTTGTTTAGGATTTAGGCCTCATGGGCTTTTTCTCTGATCAGTTTTTATATGTATTGTCATTCTTGTTCAACTCATGTTTGATAGTAATTTCTCCTGCTATTACTAGAAGATGCAGTCTTAAACTCCCTCACCCTGTGGCTCTTAAGATCTTTCTACACTCTCTTGAGCAGCATTCCCTGAGCAGTACCTTATGTGCAGGATTGTTCTGTAGATATCCATTCTGATTGATCTCTTCCACTGTTTGCTTTTATTGGTCGTGGTTTTCTATGATGGTCTCTGTCTGTTGCAAACAAAAGTTCCCTTAATAAAGAGTAAAGAATACAGTTATCTTAAGGCATAATAAAACTGTTTATAGATTACTGTTAGGGATTATGCTGTTTTAGTAATTGAGTTGTTGTAGATTCTTCTCTGATAACCATCATTTGACAAGCCCAGAGTTTTTAGCTGGGTTTCTGTTACCAGGCATGTACTCTCTCTTGTTTAACGAGTCTTATTTCCAAGTAAAGTGCTATTGGTTATAGAGAAGATATGTGTACCACAGCTGCATACTTAGAGTTATCATGCTATGATGTGCATTGTTACACATGACGTGAGCCTGATGGTAGGCTTCTTTAATGACAAGGCGATATTAGAACATATGCTTTAGTATTAGAAGCTTTGCTATTTGGAAAACATAGTGGATTAAACATAATGTGTTGTGTAAATGTGCATAATTTTTGTTTTTATTTTCATATTTCAATAAAGGTGAGAAAAAACGCAAGGGCAAAACAGTCATCAAACCTCGGAAAGACCAAGCTGGAATTTTTGAATATGAAGAAGCTGTTCCAGGTGATTGCTTTGTTTTTTTGATGATTTTTAATCTATATTTATTATCATGTCTGCAATATATTGAATGATGGCATAATGTTTTTAGAAGGAAAAACTGCTTTTTACTTTTAGGAAAACAAGTATAAGAAGTAGCATGATAAAAAATTCATAGAAATTTTGTGTATGATAAGTCAAATTTGTCTTCTATTGTAGTAAGTTCATCACTTTGAAAGATTAGTTTTTTCCTGATTATAGTTTTTTTTATGTTTTAAGAGAGAACATTTTCTTTTTTGAGTTAATAATTAAACTCTGACCTTTCTCCTTTCCCTCCTTTTCCCCAAACCTCCCATATATGCCTTCATCTCTCTGACAAATGTGTGGCCTCCTCTTTTAATAATTGTTAATGCTTGCATTCAAAAATATCTATGTATACATTTTGTCCTGAATATAACTTGTTCTGTCTGTATAATAGTAACTGTATTCTGTTTTATGGCTGACTTTTTCACACCAGATTGTGTGCTTCTTTCTGGTGTTTCCCATCTCGCCTGTTCCCCATTTTCTTCAGTTTTCTATAGTTCTTTTCTATGTGGTTGAGGCTTCATGAGCTATTTCTGTGTATTAATGTCATTCTTATTCATCTCATGTATGAGCAGTAATGTTCATGATTTTCTGTGTATTTCTCCTGATATTACTAGGAGATACAGCTTTAGAGAGAACTCCTCACTCTCTGGCTCTTTACAGTCTTTCTACCTCCTTTTTTGGCAATGTGCAGAAATATTCTGTAAATGTATCCATTCTGATTGGACTCCACCACTCTTTGTTTTAATTAGTTTTGGTTTATTGTAATGGTCTCTGTCTGTGGCAAACAAGATTTCTTGATGAAGAATGAAGACTACTGTGGGTATGAAGACAAATGTTTATAGATAGTTGTTGGGGACTCTGCTGTTCGGTTAAATTAGTGGGTGCATATTATCCTCCAATAACCATCAGTTCTCTAGCACAGAATTTTTATCTGGGTTTCCAGTACCAGTCATGGTTTCCCTCGTGTTGAGTGGATCTTAAGTCCAAGTAAAGCGTATTTGGTTACTGCCAAGGTATGCATGCCACTCCTGTACAACTGGGCCATGTTGTGCATTGTTAAATTTCATGTGAGTATGATGGTAGCATTTCATGACTTCTTTTATTGTTTAGCATGCACACTAGAATGTAATGTGTCCCAGCTTTAAGTATTCATAATAGTTGCTTTTCATTTCATAACTCAACAAAGCTGAGAAAAAACGCAAGGGCAGGCCAGTCACCAAACCTTGGAAAGATGAAGCAAGTCATTTTGAAAATGAAGAAGCAGCCCGAGGTGATTGCTTTGTTTTTTTTTTTTTTAATCCATATTGAGTCACAAGATGTTTGCCATGTATTGAATAATGGTACAATGTTTTTAGAAGACAAAACTGTTTTTCACTTTTAAGGAAACAAGTAAAAGTCCCACAAAGATAAATTCATAGAAATTTTCACTGTGATAAGATTTGTGACTGTGGTGCATTAGATGCTTTATTATTTAACATGCAGACTGGAACATAATGTGTTCCAGCTTTAAATGTACATAATTTTTTTAAATTTCATATCTCAATGAAGGTAAGAAAAAACGCAAGGACAAAAGAGTCAGTAAATTTTGGGAAGACCAAGCCAAACTTTTGGAAGATGAAGAAGCAATTCCAGGTGACTGATCTGCCTTATTTTTTTCTAGATTTATTTACAAGATGCTTCCTCAATATTAAATAATAGCATATTCTTTCCAGAACGAAAGACAGTTTTTTTAAAGAAATCTAGTACAAGAAATAGCACAATGATAAATTTGTATCATTTTCAATGTGCTAAATTCAGATTTTTGTTGGTTATTCTAATAAATTTATCTTCTTTAGATAATTAAATTGTTTCCTGATTATGATAATCTAATGTACCTAAAATTTCATTTGACTGACATTCTTGTTTAATCAGTGTCTTATTTTTAATAATTTTATTCATTGTTAAAAATTTTATGCCTCATATTTTGATCTTATTGTGTACCTTCTGACTTGAATGAGATTTTAAGTGTTTTCCTGCTGCTTACAGATGTTGAATGTATTTTTTATTGTTTTTTATTGAGCTCTACATTTTTCTCTGCTCCCCTCCCTGCCTCTACCCTCCCCCCATCAACCCTCTCCCCAAGGTCCCCATGCTCCCAATTTACTCTTGTCTTTTTCTACTTCCCATGTAGATTAGATCTACATAAATCTCTCTTAGTGTCCTCATTGTTATTTAAGTTCTCTGGAATTGATGTTTGTGGGCTGGTTTTCTTTGCTTTATGTTTAAAAACCACCTATGAGTGAGTACATATGATAATTGTCTTTCTGTGTCTGGGTTACCTCACTCAAAATGATGTTTTCTAGCTCCATCCATTTGCCTGCAAAATTTAAGATGTTGTTATTTTTCTCTGCTGTGTGGTACTCCATTGTATAAATGTACCACATTTTCCTATCCATTCTTCAGTCGAGAAGCATTTAGGTTGTTTCCAGGTTCTAGCTATGACAAACAATGCTGCTATGAACATAGTTGAGCACATGTCTTGTGGCACGATTGAGCATTCATTGGGTATATACCCAACAGTGGGATTGCTGGGTCTTGAGGTAAGTTGTATCCTAATTTTCTGAGAAATTGCCACACTGACATCCAAAGTGGCTGTGCCAGCTTGCATTCCCACCAGCAATGCAGAGTGTTCCCCTTTCCCCACAACCTCTCCAGCATAAGTTGTTATCAGTGTTTTAATCTTGACCATTCTTACAGGTGTAAGATGAAATCTCAGAGTTGTTTTGATTTGCATTTCTCTGATGACTAAGGATGTTGAACATTTCCTTATGTGTCTTTCAGCCATTTTAGATTCCTCTGTTGAGAGTTTTCTGTTTAGGTCTGTACTCCATTTTTATATTGGATTATTTGTTCTTTTGACGACCAATTTCTTGAGTTCTTCGTATATTTTGGAGATCAGACCTCTGTCTGAAGTGGGGTTAGTGTGAAGTGGGGTTAGTGAAGATCTTTTCCCATTCTGTAGACTGTCGTTTTGTCTGTTGACCGGGTCCTTTGCTTTACAGAAGCTTTTCAATTTCAGAAGGTCGCATTTATTAATTGTTTCTCTCAGTGTCTGTATTGCTGAGGTTATATTCAGGAAGTGGTCTCCTGTGCCCATGCATTCAAGTGTACTTCCCACTTTCTCTTCTGTAAGGTTCAGTGTGGCTGGCTTTATGTTGAGGTCTTTGATCCATTTCGACTTGAGTTTTGTGGAAATGTTCTTTTTGTTGGTTTTTGTTTTTAATTTCCCCCATTTAGAAGGAACGTTGATGCGTCAGCTTGTTATAAATTGCCTTTATTATGTTGAGATATGTTCCACATATTCTTGATCTCTTCGGGACTTTTATCAGCAATGTTGAATTTTATCAAAGGCCTTTTCTGTATCTTTTTGAGATGATCATATGGTTTCTGTCCTTTGGTCTATTTATGTGATGGCTTATGTTTATTGATTTATATATGTTTAATCATTCCTGTGTCACTGATATGAAAATGACTTAATGGTGGATAATATTTTGATGTATTCTTGAATTTGGTTTGTAATATTTTATTGAATTTTTATTTATATTCGTAATGGATATCCATCTTTTTTTATTTTTGTTGAGTCGTTGTGTGATTTTGGTATCAGGGTAATGATGGCCTTGTATGAAGCATTTAGGAATGTTTCTTCAGGGTTTTTTTTTTTTTGAGAATAATTGAAAACTAATGTCATTAATTCTTTTTTTTAATACCTGGTAGAATTATATGCTGAACCATCTGTCCATGAACTTTTTCTAGGTGGGAGATTTTTAGTTACTGCTTCTATCTTACTAGGCGTTATGAATCTATTTAAATTACATTTACTTTATCTTGATTTAACTTTGATAGATTACATATTTTAAGAAATATATTTTTTTAGGTTTTCCTGTTTAGTGGAATACAAATTTTTAAAAAAGTATTCTTTTATGGTTATCTTGATTTTCTTAGTGTCTATTGTAATGTCATCATTTTCATCTCTAGTTTTGCTAATTTGGGTCTTGTTTAAAATAATTTCAATGAGTACCCTTTGGAAATTTTTAAAGATAAGCTTAGACTCTTTTCAGTCATATGATAGTGTTTTTACATTTTCTTTAATTTTTGTTGCTAAGCTCTTTTCTCAGCTCTTTCAGTGAAGAGTGCAGAGAACACACCACCTTCCTCCTATGAACAAACAAAAACCCCTACCTCTGAGAAAAAAAAGTCTTCCACCTCCAAAGGGGCTAAATCTCCAAAAAAGAAGTCTCCACAGAAAACAACTCTTGTACTACCAGTACCAAAGACCAGCAAGAAATCAGGAAAAACTAAACCAACTGGAGATACTTCAGCTACAACGAAGGGTACTTGTAAAACTGTCTTACCAAAGGAAAAAGGTAGACAGTCAGCGGTAAAGGTTAGTCATGTCTCTTGCTAATTTTTATTGTCTCTGTGTTGGAGTATTATTTTTAACACTCAGTTTAGCAATTTGCTAAGACTATGCTGAATTTTCTAGGACTGTTTTAAATGTATAAAGCTCTTTTTGTCTTAGGTTTTCTATTGTGATTAAATGAAAACAATTTATGAGGAACTTACACTTCTATATCACAGTTCATTATCAAAGGCAGTCAAGGCAGGAACTCAAATAGGGCAGAGAGGGGAGCTGGAGTGGGGGTGGAGCAAAAGTAATATCTAAAGTAAAGTGGTCATTGAACATAATTGACTGGTGATTACTGGTGATGAAAGAACAAAGAGTAAATGAATTGGAGAATAGAATAGATTCACACTATCCAATGTGAAAAACTCATACAGAATTTAAAAAAAAAAAAACTGAGAAAGACAGCAAGTTGAGATTTCCTTAATGTGTAATTAGTCAGGAGGAAGAGAGGGAGGGATAGATGTGGGCAGGAAAATAGTGAAGAAGTTTTTCTTATAATCATTTCTAGTCCTGCACAGTTTATATAACATATACATTTAGGCTGGGTGATGGTGGCGCACACCTTTAATCCCAGCACTTGGGAGGCAGAGGCAGGCGGATCTCTGTGAGTTCAAGACCAGCCTGGTCTACAGAGCTAGTTACAGGACAGGCTCCAAAGCCACAGAGAAACCCTGTCTCGAAAAACCAAAAATAATAATAATAATAATAATAATAATAATAATAATAATAATAATAATAATAATAACAGATATATATATAACTACATAAACAATTTACATTATGAAAGCCTGAATATAATTTTAGTTTCAACATTTTGTGCAAAATGATACATTATGAATTTTTGTTTGAAAATTATGCTAAGTTATGATGAACCTCTAGTTATAATATAAAAAATGTAAAGAATTATGTGTACCTAAAAATCCAAGGAAGAAATTATGATGGAATTTTAAGTATTCAAGTAACCCCTCAAAATATAAGTGGAACCACCTCAACAAAAAAAGAATAAAGGAAACAGATAATTCATAATAAAATGGTTTACTCAGACCCAAATATAATAATAACTACATTAAATATTAGTGAATTAAATTCTTGGTTAAATGACAGAGATTTAATTCTGGAATTTTATAAAGACTCAAATAAGTATCCATAAGACATGCACTCTAAATATAGAGGTAAAAATATCTCAGCAGTATTATCTTACACATCTAGTATTTCCATATGATACCAGCAGAACATTTGTGTCTATGAGTACTTTCCATATGGAACAAAATAATGTCATCTTGTTTTTTTTAAAATATTTACACAATTTCTTTTTAAAACATCTAATATTTATAAAAATCAGTATGAAATATTTGTAAAAATACTGATTTTCCTAAAGCAATAATGTTCTTAAAATGGGAAATAAAATTAAGAAAAGTCAAGCTTGAAATTTAAAGTTAAAATACATCTGAAAACACATTTTCAGCTGCTCATAAAGTTACATATATTAGTGATAATATCTTTTGATCCTTATATTTTCTAGTATCAACACTAATATAATTTTGAAAAGGTATTTTGGTAAACATTTAATGATAGAGATAAAGAACAATAGTATAATTCATAATTTGTATTTTTTCAAAATTGTCATTTCAGTTCACTATCATCTAACTTCATTATTTCATAATAAAAATAAAGATGTTCACAGTTTTAATAGCTGATGAAGTTTTTGAGCTACATAAAATATTCTTAAAAGATTCCTTTATTAATTGTCATTTTCTTCCTTCATTTAAGATTTTAGCACAGGGGCTAAAGATACTGCTTAGTGGTTAAGAGCATTTGGCTACTCTTCTGCAGGACCTGGTTTTGATTCCCAACATTCACATGACAGCTCACATCTTTTGGTAGCACCAGTTCCAAATATCAAACACCCTCTTCTGTCTTCTTTGGGCACCAGGCATGCAAATGGTCCACAGACATATATGCAGGCAGAACATTCATGCACATAAAATTTAATTAAATTTAATTTTAGAAACTTTTAAAAACATATGTTAGTACATTTTCTAAATAAATGTATTTATTCAGGTTGGTATTAAACATACTATCTTGCATCAAAGGGTTCAGAATTTTGAAAACTGAAATTTGTAATTCACTACTTGACATGATTTTCTAGATTACTACGAATCCAGATAACAGTCATTAATTTAAAGCATATTGCAGAAACCTTAAATGATACTTTTGTTTTACTCTTTTGTCTTTTGTCATAATTGTTCTAGGCACAGGAGTACCTTTTGTGACACTGCAGAGCAGTTTGAAAGTAGCTTCTAGAAAAATCCCAACATTTCACATCATTAGAATACTAGTAATATTCACCTGTGTCTAAGAGATATTTGTCTCTTACATGCAACAAGCAGTCTTCACCAAATTATTTACAATTTTATGACGTTTATTGCTGGCCAGAGCCAATAGGAATGAACAGCTGCTTTCTAAGGTCCTCTGCCTTTCTGTGGTTATTTTTGCTTATGGGAAAAGAGATTTATAGAATTAACAGTGATTTACAAAGCATGTCTTGCCTGATGGTGATGCCACACGCCTTTAATCCCAGCCCTCAGAAGGCAGAGGCAGGTGGATCTCTGTGAGTTTGAGGCCAGCCTGGGCTACAAGAGCTAGTTTCAGGACAGGCTCCAAAGCTACAGAGAACCCTTTCTTGAAAAACAGAAAAACCAAAAAAAAATCATGTCTTGCAAGGAACCTCAGAAATTTTTTGAAGTTAACAGGTTTTGCACAACTAATTTGACTAAGGTATCATCAGAAGATAGGATACAGAATCCTACCTAGACTTTGGTCTCTTTCTCTGGCACCTGAATAGCTTGTGGGCCTGAGTTAAGTTTGCAAATCACTGCAGTTCTTGGTACCCAGAAAGTTTTCAACCATTTTTTTAACTGATGCTTTTGTGATCCAGTGATGTCTCCCATTTTTGTTTTCTAATCTGGAAGCTTTTAAAAGAGAACATTAGCTGCATACTTTGTTCCTTTTTTTTTAAACAGGAAAAATGTATTCCAGTTATTTCTTCTACATCTACAGCATCTCTCAGTTCACTAATTAGAAGATCTTCATCTAATAAGCCTCCTGTGGGGCCATCTAAAATAGTGATGTCTACAGGTAAGTTAGTATTTTCAAAACAGTAATAAACATTACATATTTTATTCAGCATTGATTTGAGTATTGTTAAAGTACTGGAAAAGAGTAAGATATTAATATATTTTGTTAAACTAATAGTTCAGCTTGATGTTAAGCAAAACCAGCCTGTGTAAATCTGTCACCTGAAAGTAAATATCCAACATTTTGAATTTGTGTCATTATCAAATCCTTATTATTTCAAAGTATTTTGTCATTTCATATTATATGTGTTTTCCAAAATAACTCATATCTTTTGAAAATAATTTTTCTGTCAAAGGACATGGTGATATTAAATTCTTCTCTGGTATGTTGAAAAGAGCACAGAACAAAGCAAATCCTTTTTTATCATCCCATATACATTTTCTTAATCTTTTTGTATTTTAATTTTCCTTTCATTTTATTTTGTATGTATGAGTGTCTTGCCTACATTTGTATTTGTGCAACCATGTATCTGCCTCGTGCCCAGAAGAGAATGTCAGATCCATTGGGACTAGAGAGATACAGGATGTAATATGATTTCTAGTTGGTCTTAATAATAAAAACCCAGAGTCAGAGTAAGACACCACTGCTTGGCTCTATTTTTCTTTTAGACTGATTCAGTCTTGTGTAACCGAGGATAGTCTTGAACTCACAGAGATCCATCTGCCTCTGTATCCCAACTGCTGGAAATAAAGGTGTGTGCCACCACCCTGCCTCTATGGCTAACTAGTGGCTTGCTTGGCACTCTCATTCTCAGGCAAGCTTTATTTGTTTTTGTTTGTTTGTTTGTTTTTAAATTTTTTATTGAGGGAAAAAAGTTTCTGCCTCCTCCCAGCCTCCCATTTCCCTCCCCCTCTCCCCACTCCTCTCCCCCTCCCCCCACCCCTCCCCTTCCCTCTCCAGTCCAAAGAGCAGTCAGGGTTCCCTGCCCTGTGGAAAGTCCAAGGTCCTCCCCCCTCCGTCCAGGTCTAGGAAGGTGAACGTCCAAACTGGCTAGGCTCCCACCAAGCCAGAACATGAAATAGGATCAAAACCCCGTGCCATTGTCCTTGGCTTCTCAGCAGCCCTCATTGTTCGCCATGATCAGAGAGTCCGGTTTTATCCCATGCTTTTTCAGTCACAGTCCAGCTGGCCTTGGTGAGCTCCCAATAGGTCAGCCCTACTGTCTCCGTGGGTGGGTGCACCCCTCGTGGTAGTACAAACAAAATATTGCCACAACAGACAGTCGTAACTGACATGTGTGTGCTGGCAAGCAAACCCACGCCCTCTGGAAACAACACCCAGTGCTCTTGAGCTATCTCTCTGGCATCCCTTTAGTGTTTTAAAAGTATGTCCTATTCTTTTATATCCTGAATTACCACCTTTATGCTCTTATTTTCCTTGAACTCTTCCTTATCATTTTTCTCACTTAAAGGAAATTATTTTTTAAATACCACTTGTTTTTTTTTAAATGGGGGCAATGCCAACGTCATTCTTTTTTTTCTTTTTTTTTTTAGATTTATTTATTATGCATACAACATTCTGCCTCCATGTATGCCAGGGCGCCAGATCTCATTACAGATGGTTGTGAGCCACCATGTGGTTGCTGGGAATTGAACTCAGGACCTCTGGAAGAGCAGCCAGTGCTCTTAACCACTGAGCCATCTCTCCAGTCCAATACCACTTGTTTTTTAAAGGTTCATTTAACACACTTAATTTCTTATTTCTTATAAGAAATAGTGTATTATATTTAATACAATAGCTAAATGAATACAAGTTGATAATATCTAATCCAAGAATGAATCTATTGAGTACTGACATGACACCACAAGTAAAAATCACCTGATTTCATATGATGAGTTGCAATCAAAACACAAGTGCCACAAAAGTATGATATCAAACTACCTCAGGCTTTGTGTATAAAGTTTTTATGAAGTATACGTGAATTTTATGCTCAGACATATGTTCCATCCCCCAAGTTATCTCATGTTTGAATTATTCTGGTACCAATGATTTCTTATAAGGGATATCAACATGTATAGCAGAAATATGATAAAACATTGAAATCCTTCTTTTGCTTTACTTTCTGAATGTATCTGTGCTATTATCACCTTAGGTTAGGTTTGAATCACTGTTTCATTTTTGTGAGAGAGGCTGTCCTTCCTCTGACAGTTGGTACAAGTCAAATTATCATATTTCAACCCAGTAAAATTGACATGTATAGTTTTTAGTATACTAAATAAGTGTATATATAATTTTTCAGTATAAAATAAGTTTAAAATGGTTTGAGTACTGATAAACCTGTATGATTTTCTAGTATACATTGATTTGCATTTGTCAATTTAAATTATCTACACTTGACACCATGATTATAGATGAGAAACTTCTGTACTATATGATTTTATAGTACAAAGAACATGGTTTAAAATTTCCCTCAGTAGCCGGGCGGTGGTGGCGCACGCCTTTAATCCCAGCACTCGGGAAGCAGAGGCAGGTGGATCTCTGTGAGTTCGAGGCCAGCCTGGTCTACAAGAGCTAGTTCCAGGACAGGAACCAAAAGCTACAGAGAAACCCTGTCTCGAAAATTCAAAAAAAAAAAATTCCCTCAGTGAGCCTAGTCATATATAGAAGGAAATTTTTATTTTCATATTCAAACTTTGTCATTACAACTTACTATTATATATACTATAAGTCATTTTATTGCTTTAGAAAATGCAGTTGAAGTATACTATCAGTGATTTACAATGATTAAGGATGAGCAATTTTCAAAGGAAATTTATATATCATGTATAATGAATTTGGGCAGGTAGAGAAGCGGGAAAGCGCTAGGAGGAGTTGGAGGGGGAAAGATCAAAATTTAATAACATGAAACTACTCTTTAATTTTGTATCATTTCTTGCAATGCTAAATTAAGAATGATTATATGATGCCCTTAAGTCTTCTCAAACATATATTTTATATAATCAGCTTGAGTAGAAGTCATAAATGCTACATAAGCTATTTTTGGACAATTTGCATGTTCAATATCTTTATGTAATTATGAAAATATATCTACCTGCATGTTTTCAGAAATGGCCAATGATATGAACTATTATGTTTCCATTAAGTGAAATCACTAGTAGGATATGACAATTATGTAATATTTTCAGAAAATTTGTTTTAATTCATCTCATTTTTATATACTTTTTTTCTCCTCAAGTCTGTGTCTATATAAATAAACATGGAGATTGTGGCCCCTACCTGAATCCACAGAAAGTTCAGCAGCTGCCTGACCATTTTGGCCCAGGTCCTGTGAATGTGATTCTCCGGCGGGTTGTACAGGCCTGTGTGGATTGTGCCATTGATTCCAAGACTGTGTTTTTATTTATTAAGCCAGATAATCGAGGAGGAGAAGTAATAACTGGTATATTAATCGAATTCTTTATATGTGTTCTAAATTTGATTTGAGTTTTAGAGAAGCAAACTATTATTGCATAGCAATTATTTATAATATTTATATTCTACTATAGCACTTTATTATACTGATGTAATAGAATAAGTATAGTGGTTATATACTTATAAAATTTTAAATCTCATTTGGAAAGTTTACTTTTATCAAAGCAGACAGATAAGAGCCAGGTATTGTGGCACATACCAATTCTCCTTGTACTCAGAAGTCTGAAACAGAGGACTATTGTGACTTCAAGGGCGCTCTGGGCTATAAGTAAAGTACCAGGTCAGCCAATGCTATATATTGATACCCTGTTTCACACAAACAAACAGAAAACAAAATAGGTAGTAGTCAGCGTAGTACTATAAGTTTAAGTAAAAGATACTGATTTTTTTTTCTTGTACATGCTTGCTAAGCTAGATTTTTAAGCATAGTACTTTGGCTATTAAAATGTTTTATTTTTTTGAAAAATTTCTAATAAGCTTTAAAGAATAATGTGACTCAAAAGAAAATCTTCTTAAGATAAAATGAAAAGGCTAAGGATTATAGCTCAGGGATAGTATGCTTGCCTTCCAGGCACAAGGCCTTGAATTTAGTGCTCAGCACCATAAAAAAAAATTTGAAAGGAAAAATAGAATAGGAGAGAAGTAATTTGTAGTTATTGTCTATCATGATTCTATAAACAGATATCATAACATTTGTACTCATGGGATGTAGAAGGGTTACTGTAAACCAAGCCATTTCTGTTGCACTATTTATATATACTTAATAGGATTTTTATCAATTCCTTTTTAAATTTTAAAACCCAGAAAGTAAGCTTTAAAGTACATTTCCTGAATTGATTTCTTTTGTTATTTATTTCTCATCTGTCTATGAGATGACTGATGACTGACCTTACCTCCCCGCCCCATAGCCTTCTTTGATGAGAAAGTTCATAGTGTTCAGCTCCCTCCAGTGAATAGTGCATCATTTGCGCTTCGCTTTCTTGAAAATTTCTGCCGCAGCATGCAGTGCGATAAGTTTTTGAGTAGCCAGCCTTTTAAACCCAAGGCTCATATTCCTACCTCTACTACAGACCTTGATCAAAACAAACCAGGTAAGAAAAATAAAAATTTTGTATACTATATATCTAAGAAAGTGGGGAGGGGATGTTGGGAGCAGTGCACATATGGAGGCCTGAGAATAAGTTTTTAGAGTCAGTTCTCTCCTTCCATCTTTGCATGAATTCCAGGAATTGAACTCAGATCACCAGGATTACGTAGCAAGTGTCTTTATCTGCTGACCCCTACTATGCTTTTATTTTGCATTTTATACTTGAGAATCTGAGTATTTCAGAGTTTCCTTTATGTCATCATCAAACATTTTGCCACATTGAACTAATGAAAAATGTGTAGTATATAATTATACCTTCTTCACTTAAAGTGAGAAACTAATTTCTTAACTGTATTCCTAGTAAACTTGAGAATCAAAGCCAGTGTGCTATTTTTTGCTTTTTTATGAATAGTTGATATTTGACATATTCTGTTAGGTTGAGGTATGGCTTTAACATTATTGACCTTAATCTAAAGAAAGTAGCAAAGACTATTGAGCCCATAGATAATAAAGAATGATTTTCTCAAAATTAGCTACAATTAACCTGTCTTCCATAGACTCTCAAACTGCTGACTAAATAAAAAGATGAGTGCAATGTTGTCCTATAGAACCACAGGTGATATTCTTGTTTCTAATCTCTACAGTGAAAAGATTGTTTGAGCTTTTTGTCCATTTTTTGGATGTTTGTTGCTCTTTCATATAACTATTGACAAGTAGCCATATTCTGGTTATAGTAGAAGTTTATGTATGTCACAAGAGTAGTTGTAAGTCCCAGTATTAAAGCTGCATTGTCTTCTTGTCAAATGCTGTCAATTCTGGAACTAGAATACCATGATAGTCTCAATGTGTTTAAGTCTAGTGTATTCCAATCAGGTAGAAAACCGGGGTATCATCTCCAGTTACTCATTTTCAGTCCTTTCTGATTATTCTCAATTTTTCCTCATAAACTTTGTCACCTCTGTTTTAGTGAAGTGTCTCCTCTCTATTCCTTTCTCTCCCATTTTCTTGCCACAACCCTCATCCCATTTAGAACCCTATTGCCCACCCCTTTTCTGGCTTAGTAAAGTGATCTCCTAATTGGAGTCCCCTTTATGGTTTCTCCATGCTGGTATAACTGCCTAGTGAATCCCTTGAAATAAAGTTAGGATACAGAAAGTCCTTACATGAAAGTACAATAGTCATTGTCATAAGGTGTTAGAATTTATCAAATCTGGGTTCCAGTGCTGACTGTGTAACCTGTGCACTATAAGGACATGAAGTTTGGCAAATCTAAATTTTAATCCAAGGCTTGCTGTTAATTAGAATTATACTTTATGGACAAAGTACTGAACCTCCCTGATTCTCAGTTTGCCTTTCTACAAAGTGGTTACTTTCTGAATTATGAGGAAATATGTACAGCCATGTCTGTTGACATAGACCTGTAATCTCAACTACTGGAGATTTTGAAGCAGTCTAAGGCCTATGTGAGATAAATTTCAAGCCTAGCTTAGACAGTTTAGTAAGACCCTGTATCACAATAGAAAGTAAGTAGGGGACATAGCTCAGTGGTAGAGTGTTTGCCTGGTATGTGACCACAGGATAAATAAAATTTAGACATATCTTTCTCTAAATGCTTCTGAATTATTCAAAATACACACATATACAAACACAAGATTTTTTTTTCGAGACAGGGTTACTCTGTATAGCTTTGTAGCCTGTTCTGAAACTTGATCTGTAGACTTAACTGGCCTCAAACTCACAGAGATTCACCTGCCTCTACCTCCTGAGTGCTAGAATTTAAAGCATGCACCCCCCCACCGTCCTGCTGAACACAAGAATTTATTTATGTATGTGTGTGCATTAAAGTGCTCACAAAACGCAGAAGGGTGAATCAGATCTCTCGGAGTTTACAGGCTTTGTAAGCTGCCTGATGTGGGTGCTGGGATCTGGTCTTCAGTGCTTTGATAGGCTCTTAACTTCTGAGCCATCTCTCCAATCCAACTCTAATACAGTATTTCAATAGAAATACATAATAGGATACAGTGAACCTGTTATTATAGTCAAATAATTGACACTGTTGTTGAAGTCATAGTCTGCAAATTACTTTGATGCAGAAGTACTTCATACAGATAATACAAAAATACCTGACTACAGCAATTATAACATGTACCTTTTTTTTTAAAGCACTAAATGAGGAACTAAAGGAAAGTAGAAGACTCAAACGATGTTCTCAGCGACCTCTAACTTTTGCTCCAGTCTCATCAAAGGTTCCCAGAAAGAGTAGGCGAGCCTCTAAAGGTAAATGGCATTCACACACACACCAGAATTGAGAAAGTCAGTCCCTCAGTCACCACCTATGTATGCTCTTGGTGTGATGGTTTTGAGGGTAGGGAGTTAAATTCACCCATGCTTGACAATTACATTATTACTTTGGTCACTGAGCACTGTATTCCTTTCAGAAATAATACTTCTGTCATTTTTCCCTGGGTTAAAAAGACTTAGAGTAGCACTATACATTCTGCTTTGCATTGCTTATAACCAGGAAAATCAGTGAGAGAAAAGCTAATATGCTTTCTCCAGTGAAAGCAAATATGAGAAAATAACAGTGTGGTCATAAGGAATATTTCTCAAGAATTGTGCTCCTAAGAAGAAATGTTTTTTAGAAGTTTACAGCTTTGGTTGCAAGAATGGAAAGATCTACTAAATTACCATATAAAACATAGATGATTGCCTAGAATCAATGTGGATTTTATGAGTGTCCATTAATTTGTATGATGAAAAAGAGTTAGTTGTCCATGTATTTTGTGTTAGAAGCTTGCCATTCAATAGAACACTAAGTGATCTATTATTGGAAATAAGCTATTTTTCTTGATTAAGAATTACATACATGTATGTAATGTATTTTAATCAAGCCTCACCTCATTCTCTCCCCTCTAACTACTCCTCTACACCTACACCACAATTTCCTCCCAATTTCATGGATTCACTCCCTCTGCTGTTGTTATTATTTCAACCCACAGAGTCCACATAGTTCTGCTATTATGTGCATACATACAGGACTATCTACTGGAGCATCCCTGAAGAAAACTGACTCTCCCTCTCTCAGTAGCAATCAGTTGTTAGTAGTTCCTTGGCTAGGGGTGAGATGTCCTAAGCCCCTTTCATATCCATGCTGAAATTTTTTTCTGATTTGATCTTGTACATGAAGTCACAGATGTTAGTTTATATATGCAGTTGCCAAATTGTATCTAGAAAATATTTTGTTGTAGCTATTCACTGCCTCTGGCTCTCATAATCTTTCTGCCCCCTCTTATGAGATGATTACTAGCCTTGCGGTCACAGTATGATATAGCTCTCTGCTGCAAAAAGGATCTTCTCTGAGGAGAGTTGAGAGATACACTTATCTGTGTATAAATCTCTAGGAGTTAGTTTAGTACTGTGTACTTTTAGCAGAAAAAGTACTCTAGGACTTGTAACCTATACTCAGGTCCTTGGCCTCATTAACATGCCAAGCATGAGTTCAATCTTCTGAAGAAGGCCTTAAATACAATAATACAATACGATCATTAAGTGATTGGTTACTTCCATAGCATTCATACCACTATAGTAACAGTAAATATGTCTTGACAGACCATAATTGTAATAGTTTGTAGGGTTCATACCTTGGTAGGACTGTTGATTACTTTTCTCCCTTAAGAGAGTGCCCAGCACCACCCAGCACAATGAAAGCTAGCCAGTAGCTTATAGGTCAGAACAGCTTGATTTCTCTATGTTCTATGTGGTATCTTTAGCAAATAGGGTCTTATGTGACCTCATAACCTGACCTTAGGTTCTGCGGGGTAACCAAGAACAATGGTAATAACCCTGCTTATATTTACTGGTCTATGAAGCCCCACTGACCATCCATTTCAAAAGAAGTAACATGTTCCTCGCACTGAGTTTTGATAGATTATCATGTCTGTGAGAGGCCCCATTTGAATTTTTTGCATATATATATGTGTGTGTGTGCATATATATATACATATATAACACATTTTGTGTGTGTGTGTGTGTGTGTGTGTTAGGAAGCTTGTATAAGTAGGTTTCCATTTGGCTTTTTCAAAATACACAGTTTGAGGAGAAAAAGACCAACAGGAAAATTTTATGCTAGAGCCTTGGTTTGTGCTGAAAGAGATAAGGAGAAATGGAATAAATGGAATGGTGACCTCAGGGTAAGATCCCACCCAACTAATTCTACAACTTGTGAAAAGGCCTAAGGTATTATCTGTTCCTAAAGAGCAACAACACATCAAAGCTTATGTAAATATTTCAAGGAAGGAGCCCGGTTTCATCCTGATCCTGCAACAGAACTTGGCAGCCATGGTCTGGCTTTAGAGTCAAGAAGGATACAAAAATAAAGGGGTTGTGGAATCTTCCTACACAATTAAAGAAAGGAGTGTTGCAGGGAAGTCTCTGCATGCAGGCCCAGAGAGGCCATTGCATGAAGCTGTGAAAGTGAAGGCTGGATTTGTATTGGAGACCCCAGGATGTTGGAGATGACAGAGCTGTAGGATACCTGTCAAGGAAAGCTGCATACAGTGAGTGGAACCCGTTCAAGAGACAAATGTGTTGCAGTCAGCAAAGCTGGAAGGGCAGAGCCATCTAAGCCCTTTGACAATCCGACATAGATCTCCAGGATTTGGTGGATGCCCTGCTAGGTTTTAGTCTTGCTTTGGTCTAGTATTTCATCATTATGGCCCTATTCCTCCCTTTTGGAATTGTAATGTGTATTCTGTGCCATTGCATGTTAGGTATATATAATTTACTTTTATTTTTACAGGGGCTCACAGTTAAGAAACTGCCTCAAACCTCAAAAGAGACTTTGGATTTTTACATAGTTTCATTGTTGAAAGACTGTTGAGACCTTTGAAGTTGAATCAAAAATATTCTGCCTTATGATATTGCTGCAAGCCTATGGGGACCATGGACTGGAATGTGGCAGAATGAGAATGGAACCCAAAGGCTTATAGAGTTGAATATTTTGTCCCCAGTTGCTGGAGCTCTTTGAGAAAGATTAGGAGGTGTGACCTTTATAGAGAAGATAGGTTGCTGAAGGACGGAGTTGAGGTTATAAAAGCCTACACAGTCCCAATGGTTGACTCACTCTCTCTCTCTCTCTCTCTCTCTCTCTCTCTCTCTCTCTCTCTCTCTCTCTCTCTCTCCCTCTCGCTAACGTATCAGATGTAAGCTCTCAGCCCTAAATACTGCTACAGCACCATGCCTGCCTGCCTATTCCCATGTCCCCCATCTTGATGGTCACCAACTCTCTCTTGAACCATGAGCTCCCAGATTAAATGTTTTTTGTTTTGTTTTGTATTTTTTTTGCCTTTGTCATGGTGTCTTATCATGGCAATGGAAAAGTAAGATATCCTTCTAATAGAATTTGAGCTGTTGAAGATAATCTCTTTTCCCCCATATAGTAATATCTTCTGAGGGACATGACATGTCTAAAATGAAAAGTTTTCTTGAAACTTTTGAGAATTCATCAATAGGTGATTCCTTGTATCCTGCATATACTTCAGTCTCCAAGAGAGTTTCTGAGATTGTGTCAGATACATCAAGTACATCTATAGTTATGAAAAAGTCATCTACCTTATAAGCACATTAAATACTAATGGAAAAAGAAAAATGAAGGTATATTCAAGAATAGTGTTTCCCAGTCAGTGTGTTTATCTTTTTCCTTGAGGATTCCGTACCTTACCATACCACCTGATCACCTCTTGAAATGCCAAAATTAGAGAGGTCATGGTCTCTCTTCCACATTGCCAGGGGCAATGCTGTTGTGGCTATTCCTGTCCTCAGAGCATCACAGAACTGTCTCTGGGACTTTGGATCACCAGCCCTATTAGACAGAGACTTCTCTGATTAGTGGTTCTCAAGCAGGTGTAGACAATTCCTGAAGTGCTATGAGAACTCTTAAACCTCTCATGGCTCTTTCGGCCAAGAAGGACACATTTCTTCTCCTTGTTTCTGATGTGATGTGATCTGTTGAGACCTTTCCTGGTACCAGCCTGTGTGTGGCTCTTGGATCAGGTCTCTGGCATCCCTGTTCCTGTAACCACATCATTTCCCTAATCACCACATCCGCTGTCATTCTCTTAGATCTGCCAAGAAAAGCTGGCATCTTCTTTAAAAAGAAAAATATTACACAGAATTTCCTGCTGCTACTACTTAATCTTTTAAGGACTAAGAGTGACGGAGATAAAAAGTGTTCTGTCCATTTTCTTTAGGCTGTGTTGAAGAGTAAAGAACATAGAAAGCAAGTGACCTCGTTGGGTTTTTTTTTTTTTTGACATGAATGTTATCTATGAGCAACCTCACTGTACACATCTATGACACATTTAATGTTGTCCCTTCTATCCTACCCCACCTCCTGTAGTGATTGTTTGTTTTTAAAGTGATATTGTTTACCAAAGGTCTAAAAATGGATATTTAATCCATAAGAACTTATATGAAATGTTAATTCTAAGTTCACTAAATATCAACTTGTGAAAAAGGCTTTCTTAGTAAAAGGTTGTAAAATTTTCTGATTTTAAAATTTCTAATGCTAGTTATCTGACTTCCAGATGTTTGAGTAATGCTACTGACAATCCTAGGAATGGAGAGATAAATAGTAATGATATTGGTTATTAATACTTTGTGATGTTAGAAATAAGTCGTCATCATCATGTGACATTATGTGCCAGGCATGTATTTTATATGGCTTCATAGACATAATTTTTAATTTTTAAAATTCCTTGAAGAATAGCTACTAGTAAACACTTTCAGTGAAATAGAATCTCAGAAGTCACTTGGCAAAAACGTGGCTAGGCCAATTCTTGAATTCAGACACTGATTGCCTGCACCTCTAGAGAAAAGATAACCATTTCATTTCAAAGCTATCTAGATGTGTCATTATTTTCTTTCAGGTCTATTAGTTTAAGCTTCATTTATCACTGTTGCTGACACAACTCTTATTGTATTACTCTCTCATTATTTGAATAAAAGAAAAATTTTCACCTTTACATTATAAAGAAATTCCATGATAATCAGGAGAAATTAAATCACTTTATTTCACGTATATTTATTGATATCCCAATCTATAAAGGCAGGAAAAATATACCTGAACTTTGTTTTCTTATGATTAGTTTGTTTCATATTTGAGTAGTAGTCATGTAATGATCAGAGGTTAGAACCACCTCTAATCATTTTGAAGATGCATCCTCAATTTTGTTTCAGTAATAGAGTGAAAACAGAAGATCTTATAGTCTTATCTTAATTTGAATTTAATTTTATGCTGGAAATCATACCTTTTCATACAGTCTAGCTGTAAAGTAGTTACATGTTATGCAAGGCATAACTATACCAGATTCTGATGACAGAAACCTTTTTAAAACCTAGATTTAGAAATATAATTAACCTTGTAAATATTTTAATATTTATGGCATTGTTGAGTAAAAGATAACTTCTAATTGTCCTGATTCCCAAAAGGTACAGCATTGTTTGTAGACTTGTCCAGCCTGGGGCTCATGGGTCACAAGTGTGCCAGGATATTAGAGAATATAGCCCAACAGATTTGTAGAAGACATCATCTTACAGTATCAAATGTTGGAAACTCCCAGCTACATTATCACCGGTTTTACCTGGATTAATGAAGTCCAGCAAATTTTTGTTTTCTGAAATTTTAAGGCTAGGATATATTTTAGTAGATATTTATTTTACTTTACAGTTGTGGTTTTGTAAAGAAAAGAAAAAGTAGAACTACTCACAGAAAATCATTATAATTTTGAACACATTTTCTTTATTGTTTATACTTCTTGGAGTAAATACTCAAAGCATTAATATATTTGCCATGACCTGGATGATAGGAAACAAATTATATACATTTGACTAGTTCATACCTAGAAATATCAACAGATTTTTCCTAGAAAAGTTCAAAACCTTCTTTATCATCACACACTCAGTAGGAAGTTGAGCATTCTCCTTAAGTTAATCAGTATTGGAACACAAATTTCTACACAACTTAGTGAACAACACCTCTAAAACCTGAACCTCATCAGATGAATACCTTAGTTGTGTTTTGTCTTGTTGCCTTTTTAGTAAATGTCTAATCAAAATATCTATTTCTAGACAGTGAATCATGAAAGAGGGGTCAAATAAAAATACTACTAAAGCTACTTTGTGACAGAGCTGGGAAGGAAATAATTTTGTATTCTTTAAAATTGAGATTAACATTTAAGCCAGAGATGAGAATCTATAAAGTGTAAAAGTGATGCTAAAAATGACCATACTGAATTGAGGAGAATGGTTCCAATAACTAATCTCTTTCTCAAACATAATGGGATTGCTGAAATATATTAATTAAAATTGAAAAATATATAAGGGATTATAAACCTGTAAACTTGAAAGGCCCTATCATATTTAACAAAATAAAGTCAATTTAGAAGAAAAAGACATTAAAAGAGCAGCTTGTGCGAAGTTTGTTGGATCTGTTCAAAGAAGACAGTACTGAGTTAGCTCAGTTTATCCCAATTCAAGGAGCACCTTTTCCTATAGTTGCTTGTGACCTAAGAAGCCTTGGATTGCTACACGTGTTTCATGACCATGGAAGCTTTGTACTTTCTAGTGTAAAGCTGTTCTGCTCTTTGGGGAGGTCCAGTGACATACTCTGTGCAGCACTCCGCAGATCATCTTCGTTAAGGCTCTCAGGAGATTTTACAGATGGAGTCTTAAGTCCTTAATTAGGTACTGAAGAGAAGGTTCCAGGAGTGAGACCATTACTTTTACCTAACGTCTCTTCTTTCAGGATTATGATCAGGTCAAGTATGATTTGTTTTTTTTCCCCTCCCATTGAAGCTTCAAGTTATATAGCTGTACCTGACCCCAGTGTCCTGAAACAAGGCTTCTGTAAGGACCCTTCAACCTGGTCTGTGGATGAAGTGATACAGTTTATGAAACATACAGATCCTCACATAGCAGGCCCCCTCGCCGACCTCTTCAGGCAACATGTAACGTATCTTTTGATCCGGTTTTCCTGCTGCCCTTATGCCTTTGAATGACCTCTGTGCAGGCCTTTCAGTTTGCTGCTGAGTTGTATGGATGGTGGGGGAACCATATCAACTGATCTTTTTCATTTGTAAGAAGGATTGCTTTGCCCAACATTCAGGCCTTAAATGGTAGGTTAACTGACTGTTCTGTAAATGGGTATCTAAGAATCTCGTACACTAAACAACCTCAGGTTTTCAAGAGGTGGTATTATAGGATTGCCACTCTCATGTAGACCACCCCTTCTTGTAATGACAAATACAAGAACCCTCCCCCCCAACCTGCTCCCTGTTCTATTCTAGGACCACGAGTAGGAGGGGTTGGCTCACAGCATATACCAGGGTGGCCTTCTCGTGATACCCTGTGAAAACAGCAACTTCATTATAATTTGAATAACAAATAATAGGCTTTTATGACATAAATTGTATACTTACAATAATAAAAAATTTTAAAAGGATTTCTTGTGACTGTTAAGCAATGTGTTCACAACATTTTCTAATATAAAATCATTGGTTTAATGTCTGGTGTACACTATTTTATGCGCGCGTGTGTGTGTACACATGTGTGTGCAGGTGCAAATGCACATGTGTATATGTCTTATGGGAGCCAGAGGACAATCTCAGGTATCATCTTCAGGAAGGCTATCGAGCTTCCATTGACACAGGTCTCTCATTGCAATCTGGGAGCTCATCAACTAGGTTACACTGATTGGCCAGTGCACCCCAGGGATTATCATGTCTTTACCTCTTCATTGCTGGAATTTAAGTACATGCCACCATGTCTGGCATTTTTACATGGATTCTGGGCATCCAACTCCAGTCTTCATGTTTTCAACACAAGTGCTTTACTGACTGAGCAATCCTTCTGAGCCCCTCTTCAATATTTTAAGTAAATCAGTATTTGTTTCAACACCTAACTAGCTTCAGACAGCTGATTAGCTTTCAACATGAAGATGAAACTGTAAAGCATGTTTACAGTTTTCATTGGTAATGACATACTCTTTCCCTTTTCAGAAAGTTAATAACATATGAAATTCATTTCTACTATTCTTAGTCTTTAACTATTTGTCATAAATATGTGCTAGTATTTTGTTCAGTACACAGTAAAGTCAGATACTTTGGTACTTAGAACATATATTGAAAGTACAGGGTTAAACCTTTTTCTTAAAAATTAGATTAAGTTTATAAATTGTCAAATGATGCTCCATTGTACAAATCAAATTTTATTAGTTTTCATAGACATATATCCAGAGAATGAATATATATATATACATATATATGTGTATTTCTATGTATGTATATATAGTACGATACTGTATAAAGTATGGAAGGATTCTTACTATAATTTTCTTCTCTCTATAGGAAATTGATGGAAAAGCTCTACTACTACTGAAGAGTGAACTGATGATGAAGTATATGGGGCTGAAACTAGGACCAGCATTAAAACTATGTTACTACATTGAAAAACTTAAAGAAATAAAGTATAATTGAAAATATGCAAATTTAGATTAGAGACAATTCTCAGGTATACTTAAAATGTTTTACTTTAAAAGTAATTTCCTTCTCATCAGTTTGTATTTTATGAAAGGTTTTTATAAAAATATTTTATCAAATTGTAGTACAATTACATTGATAGTATGTTCTTACTCTTTAAATGACATTGAATATGTTTTATTAGCATACTTATAACTGGCAATTTATTATTTATGTCTTTAATTATTTTTATTGTGTTTACAAGTATACTTCATGTAGCAAACAGAGGAAAACCTTTTATTAGGATTAATTTTTATATCTAGAACCAAATAGCTAAACCCCAAAGGGGAAAATACCAGCAACATAATCTCTATTACAAAACCATGACAATTTTCTCTCAAAAGAGTTTAATGATGCACTTAAGCTCTCATCTCCTTCCCCAGTCTTCTGTTCATGATACACTACTACTAGAAAGGAAAGAGCCATATAAATGATTTTCCTTTCTTTCCATGCCCTGGTGGTGTATTTGTTCATACAAAGGGGAAAAAGCAAGTTTATAAGCTTGCATAAAGTGTTCTTACTAGTCTTTGATATTTTTAGGATAGATTAAAGTGAATAATTTTTGTGGAGGAGATGTTTATTCTACAAGAGTGGATTGGATGGAATTGGATAAACTTTATACCTATTTAATAATTTTCTGAAATTTTGCTAAGCTCAAACATTAGACATTCAATCCTGACATGTCTATTTCCAAAATATTTGTGTCCAATTTTTAAAAAATTATTTTATTTTGTGTTTTTTTACTCATATGGATACTTTAGCATATTTATATACTATTCTATATTTGTGAGAATACACAATTGATTTTTTTGATTTATTATGGCACTTTACACTGCCACAAAGGTAATAAAGACCTATATATAGATGTTTATTCCATCAAAAATATGTACATCATTTTACTATTCCCAGTAGCTCTCAGCTTATTATTCAGGTGTTAAGAAACTCTACTTAGATTGGCTCCCACATAGGGAAGCTCTTTATTCTATGCAATATTTCTAATTAATTTACTTATTGAGCCATCAATTCTACTACATTTTTAAAAATACATTAATTCTGACATTGGGGCTCTATTTTTATAAATGAGAGCTTTCAAAGGAAAATGATACTGCGTGCTATTACTTTATATAGTGGTGTAATACATATAAGCTGTGAGAATCAGTTATACATGTATTAGCCATTTGTTCTAAATATCAACAAAATGTTCACCAGGATAAGAATGTCCATTTTCTCTTTAAGAATACCAAATGTGTTCTATATAACAGCAGAAATGTATAAAAGATTACTTCACCTATGTCATTTCTGGAACAACTAGATTCTTAAAGTTGATCTTCTTACAAATTGTTTGTATGAAGATGCTATGTCTAGTTGAGTGGTCCTCAGGTGCTTATAATACTATGTTTTGTTATCTTCAAATTTGAAGAATATAATAAAGTTAAATAAGCACAGCAATTAATACCTGAGTCTGAGATTTTATTTTACTTACCTTCTCCACAGTGTATTAATATGCGGGCTTGTTGGTCTTGTAAAAAAGGACTTTGAAACTACTTAGTACTGTACTTAAAAGTAAAACCCTGTTTTCCATACCGCAGAAGAGATTTTACTTGCAGTTTTCTGTGTAAATGAAGTAGGTTGAAATTTCTGGGGCTCATTCTACAGGCTGAAGCTGTCACATCTTATGAAGTTCCCTGAAACTGACCCAATGTGAAACTATGTGGGATAGAATATATACATACACAAATGCTCGCCATCAGAATACACCATCAGATTAGTCTTTCTTTCCTCTACTTCCTTTGTATTTTAGAATTTCACATGAACAGTAAACATTTAAGATATCTTTCTCGAGAGTGCTAAGAGTCAAACCCAAAGTGATCTATCACTAAACCATATCTCCAGTCATTTAGTATTTTCAGTCTCACCTATATAACTTAAACTGACCTTGAACTCACAATGCTTCAGCCTCTGTGGTGCTAGAATTGTATGAGTGTGCTTATATTAATCTCTGCTTAGATATTTATTAGTTGGTATTAATATTGTTTTTAAATAAAACGATAAAGTGAGGATTTGGAGACATTAGAGCCCTTATATGCTAGTGAAATTTAAAATATAGTTACTGTGTAAAACAGTTACTATGTTATATATCAAATTGCAAAATTTTTAAAAAGCAGCATCCGATGCTTAGGATATAAGTATTCCAGTCTAAAGGTAAAAATGAATCTTTATCATCAGATGAATGAAGTATGAAACACACTGTGTATGCGTGTGTGTGTGTAGTGTGTGTGATTTATTCTTTAAAATGAATGAAATTCTGACACATACTGCCAGGTGAATTACATTAAGCCAGGCACAAGGACAAATACTGTATGAATCCACTTACATGAAATTCAGAAATAGAAGTAACCAGGTGGTCGTTAAAAAGGGAATGGGAAGTTACTGTTTCATTGGCCCAGAATTTCAGTATGGAATGAAAGAAAAGTTGTGGATTTAGATAGTACTAATGGTTGTACAACATTGTAGATACATGTAATATTCATTGTATATTTACAGTAGTAAAGTAGTAAATTTGTGTATATTTATCAAGGTAAATTAGAATAAAAGAAAACGGTTGAAGTAATAGATGTAAAAAGATAAAAAAGCATTTTTCTCTACAAATACCCTCAGGAGTCATGTAGAAGAGTTCCATTTCAAAGATAAAGCATGCTTTTTTTAATATTTATTTATTATGTATACAATATTCTGTCTGTGTGTATGCCTGATGGCCAGAAGAGGGCACCAGACCCCATTACAGATGGTTGTGAGCCACCATGTGGCTGGGAATTGAACTCAGGACCTTTGGAAGAGCAGGCAATGCTCTTAACCTCTGAGCCATCTCTCCAACACCAAGATAAAGCATTATTAAAATATATAGGCTGATTTATTTCATCAGTCCCTCTTTCAATCCCATGTCTCTTAGCAGCTGTCTTGCTTATCAGCAACCAGAAAAGTCAAAACCAATTCCCTGTGTATTTCCCATCTCAAGTGGCTTTTTTAATATTGCTTTTATTCTCTTTAAAGACTTTATTATTTTAAACAATTTTTTTTACATTTTATTTATTTATTTATTTATTTATTTATTTATTTATTATGCATACAGTGTTTTGCCTACATGTATTCCCACACCCCAGAAGAGGGCACCAGATCTCATTACAGATGGTTGTGAGCCTCTATGTGGTTGCTGGGAATTGAACTCCAGACCTCTGAAAGCAGCCAGTGCTCTTAACCTCTGAGCCATCTTTTAGACAATGTTTTCTAACCCTTTCTCATTTTTTTTGTTTATTTTATTTTTTTTTAGTTGTTGCAAAAAAAAATTCCCATTTCCCTCCCCCTCCTCCATTCCCCATCCCTCTCGAGAATGAAGAGCAGTCCAGATTCCCTGCCCTGTGGGAAGTCCAAGGTCCTCCCACTTCTATCCAGGACCAGGAAGGTGAGCATCCAAACAGGCTAGGTTCTCACAAAGCCAGTTTGGTGAGCTCCCAATAGATCAGTTCCACTGTCACAGTGGGTGGGTGCACCCCTCTTGGTCCTGACTTCCTTGCTCATGTTCTCCCTCCTTCTGCTCCTCATTTGGATCTTAAGAGCTCAGTCCGGTGCTCCAATTTGGGTCTCTGTCTCTATCTCGATCCATCGCCAGATGAAGGTTCTAAGGTGATATGCAAGATATTCATCAGTATGGCTATAGGATAGGGCCATTTCAGGTTCCCTCTCCTCAGTTGCTCAAGGTACTAGCTGGGGACATCTCCCTGGACACCCCTTCCTCATTTTTTAAGCCTATGCATATTATTAAACACCTTTTAAAGAAGATTTTCCATCTGGACCTCTTTTACTGCATATCTTTTAGACTCTTTTGATGGAATAAACCTTTAAACTGCTAAGTGGTGTGTCTAGGACCTCAGTGTGACTTGGGTGGGTGGCTGTGCCTGCTTCTCTGGTCACGAAAGCCAAGCCTAAAGCCTAGTTGGAGGTTCCTTTGACCAGGAACTGCATTTAACCCCCCATATCCGAAATGCTGATGCTTTGCACTGTGGCCGGCATTTTTTTTTAATTTAGCTTTTTTTGTTGTTTTGTTTTGCTTTGCTTTGCTTTTATTTAATGTACTTGCTGCTCAAGGGCTTGCTCTTAAAGACGCTGTATCTGTTTTTTGCTGTTTGGTGTTTTTTTTTTTTTTAAGCTTTCTCAGTCCCTAGGTGGAAATATGGGGCCCACGGTGGAATACCAAAATGTTGTTGGTTTGGGGTTTTTTGTTTGTTTTATTTTTACTCTTTGACTGCCACCAAGTTCCCAAATAATCACATGGAGACTTAACCTTTTCTTTTGCATGTTCAGCCTTAGCATGGCCTATTTGTAGCCTGCTTTTCTTAAATTATCCCATCTACCTTTTGCCTCTGGACTTTTACAACTTTCTCTATTTCTATATCTCTTTTCTTTCCTTCTTATTCTGTGTCTGAATCTTTACATCATTAAACAAATGCGCCACAGCATAAACAAATGTAGCAACACATCATCAACTAATATTCCACAACAGTGCTATATCCCTGTACCTCTGTAGCTTTTCTTACTTTTAAAGTAGCCTATCCTTTATAATGATTTGGAATCTCAGGTTCCACATTGTGATCCATAATTTTCGTGGGCCCTGGGCTCCTTTGTCACCTTTTTTTCTATTGCTGTGGAATTTGGTCAGGGGGCCACTCCTCACTGTAACAGTGTCTGACCAAGAAAATGAGGAAATGGATCTTTTGTAAATAGTCTCACCTGCTATTGATCCAAATAACACAACACATGCCTCCTTTAAACCTATCAAATCTCCCTGTTCCACTTCCAGTGTACCAGTATACCTGCCTCCTTCCAGCCTCTGCTTTATTTTCATTAAACTTGTGTATTTTTATATTGTCCACAATTGATATTGCATCCCATCATGAACCCTTGTTTATCTAATGGGCACAAGGATCTTAAGAACAGCAATCCAACTAGAATCTTTAAACACTGGCAATAAATAAATTTCAGGTGTATTTGATTCTGCCATGAGAGTGGTTAAGCTGCTACCTTAAGACTGAGTTGTGCTGTTGACAGAAATGACACTGAGCTAAAGGCATTCTGTCATCTTCATAATTATTGATGTCAATTATTATGTGTCACTGGGATATGGATACTTCTGTGGCTCAAATATGTGGTGATATATAACTGATACACTTCCTTCCTTGCATCCTAAGATTAGTTGTACATTGACTGTCTTTTCCCACTAAAGTGAATTCTTTTTTTTTGGCGGGGGGGGGTCTGGGGAATTTTTCTTTTTTTTTTTAAATATAATTTTTTATTGAAAAAAAATTTTTTCCGCCTCCTCCCTGCCTCCCATTTCCCTCCCCGTCTTCCTTTTCCCCCCTCCTCCCTCTCCTCTCCCCCTCCCCCCACTCCTCTCCCCCTCCCT